AGGTACCATTTTTTAAGGGTATTGTCAAGTCTTAACCTGTCCCCCAAATTGCAGTTGCCAGTTGAGGTCTGTGATTTCTATTCTTGATATCTCGGTATTTCCAAGTTGACATGAATCTGAAGATATCATCTAGACAATTACAGACTTGTAAAGGACTTGAAGATACCTAGTCATATTCCTCCTTTTTTAAGTGGGGAAATTGGTTTTCGGGAAGGGTAGTGAGTTTAGTAAGAACCTGGACCAGAGCCCCAGGTGTCCTCACTCAGGAAGGCTTCTGATCTCTTCTCACTTTCTCTCATCTTGACCATCTTGCTTTGACCTAGGTGCTACAACTGTGGAGGTTTAGACCATCATGCCAAGGAATGCAAGCTGCCACCCCAGCCTAAGAAGTGCCACTTCTGCCAGAGCATCAGCCATATGGTGGCCTCGTGTCCACTGAAGGCCCAGCAAGCCCCCAGCTCACAGGGAAAACCAGGCTACTATCGGGAGGAAGAAGAGGAGGTCCATAGCCCTGCCCTGCTCCCAGAGGCCCAGAATTGAGCACAGTGGGTGGGGGCTATCCTTTTTGCGATCAGAAAGTTTTGAGGAGCAGGCATCAATCGGCAGAGTGGAGAAAGTGGGGAACAGGGTGGGTAGGGGGTAGCTGGCACTGCCATGTATCTCAGGCCGGAGTTCACAGCATCACCCCCTCTTCCCTTTTGGTGAGAGGAAGGGGTGAGGCAAAGGAACTCCAACCGCGCTCTATCCAAATGCACATGAGGGCTTGGGGGAGGGGCAACCCTCTCTGCATGCTTTATCTGAGTCTCCACCTCCATAATCTCTAGCTTTCGAACATGACCTGGACAGGGAAGTTCTTTTCCCTTCAAAGAAGGATACGTAATAATATTTCCCACGGCAGAGTAAAAAATTGAGCATGAGACCAGACGGATGGACCCTACCCACAAGCCACTACATTCTATCGGGAGGGAATCTCTCAGGGGTAAGGCAGGGTTTTTCCACGTCTTTTCCCTCATAACCCACTCTTGGGATAAGGTGCTGAGAATTGTCCCAAGCAGTAGGTTGTGACATAGGCAAAAGAGGTGGCTTGGGGAACAGCTGCAGACCCTCTGCTCCTAAGTTCACTCCCACCCCATTCTGGGCCAATACAATTTTATTTATTTGCTCCCTTGGATGGATAACTGCACCTTGGGTCCCACTTTCTCCAGGATGCCAACTGCACTAGCTGTGTGCGAATGACGTATCTTGTGCATTTAACTTTTTTTCTTAATATAAATATTCTGGTTTTGTATTTTTGTGTATTTTAATCTAAGGCCCTCCTTCCTGCACTGTGTTCTCAGGTACATGAGCAATCTCAGGGATGAGTCGGCAGCAGCTCCAGGTCTGCACAGCAGGCATACTTTTTGTTGTATCACCAGGGAGAACAACTATTTGGAGTGCACAGCCTATTGAACTACCTCATTTTTGCCAATTAGAGCCGGCTTTTCTGCCACAGTGTCCTTGAAACCCCTCCACTGTCAAGGTTTCATGGGAGACTAGGTTTTAACTGGGTTGCCCCATGATTTGATCTCCTACTGGAAGATTGGAAATTGGTCTGAACAGGAAAAGCTGGTGCAGAGAGGTTAGGAGAGGTTGGGCCAGGGGAAAGGCCCAGCGGGGAAGCCAAGGTTACGTGAGAGGTGTCCATATATGTGACAGGATTCCTGTTCCTGACCTCTGATCCCAGGGCATGGGACTCAGTTTACATACCAGATCCATCCTTCAGTGGATTGGGCTAGGCCTACCATGCACAACAGGGTGTGTTTTTTGTAAAAAATGTGAGTTGGTAACAATAGGTTTTAAGAACGATAACCTCTGTACCCATCTTGAGCTGCCCAGGGATGGATAAATGAAGCAAGAACAAAATCCTTAACCTTTAACAGTTCTGGGCTTTTCCTCCTTGGCTTCCAGAGAGACCACAGCAATGGCTCCTTTGTGGTGCCTAGAGCCAGCATCCTGCCCTGCTGCACCAGTGATGTGTGCTGTGGTAGCTAAAGGAGAAAAGGGGGTTTCGTCTACATGCTGTGAGATCACCGCAAACCTACCTCACCGTGTTGAAACGGGGCAAATGCAATAGACCGCATTGGGTGATGTGTGTCTGATCTGGGTTCTTGTCTCCCCCAATTGCTGCCCCCCTCTAGTTATTGTATTTGTCTGGGCTTTGTAGGTCTTCACAAGTAGCTGATTTGGTGATTGCTAGGTGGCCTAGTTTTGTGTTAATATAATGTGTTGGTCTTCTCCGTGTTCTTTTGGGGTTTTGTTTACAAACTTCTTTTTGTATTGAGAAAAATAGCCAAAGCATCTTTGACAAAAGGTTCTGCACCAGGCAAAAGGATCTGAAATGTAAGCTTGGGGACCCTTCTTGAAGTGGGGGGGATCTTGAACCATCCTTTCTTTTGTGTTTCCCTTCTCCTATATCCTATTTTGGACTGTATCTTCTGTCCTTAAAAGCTTGATTCCTACCCTACCCCTCTCTCTACTCCACCCCCCCAAAAAGCCCATATACCTATGCATTTAATTTGTGGGTGTCTCCGCAACTCTTAAATGTTTTGTGCAAAAATCCTGAAGAAGCTAAGAATACTCCACCCCTCGTTCCAGTCAGGACCATTCCTTTATGTGATTCATGCCAAACACTTAGATTGCTGTGTTTAGATGGATCAAACCTACTTTAATCCCTAATCCTAGGGTAGAAAGAAGCAATGAGGCGGCTTTCCACGTAGAAGGCGGGCTTGGGAGACCAAAGAAGGGAAGATGAATGTATATCCAAGTCACTCAGGAAACTTTTATGCAGGTGCAAGAAACTTATGTCAAAGTGGCCACAAGATTGTTTAATAGGAGACGAACGAATGTAACTCCATGTTTACTGCTAGAAACCAAAGCTTTGTGTGAAATCTTGAATTTATGGGGAGGGAGGGAGGGTAAAAAAGCATGTACCTGTCTGTTCTTTCCCTGAACCCTTGCCCTCATTCCTGAATTGCAGGAGACTAAGCCCCCTTGGGCTTTGGTGACCCTGTCACTGGGGAGTGTTTATGTGATGGCTGATTTTGCTGTGCCAGGTACTTCCTTTACCATTTGCTATCATTTTGTAACACACATGCTGACCCTTTTTCCTTCCCCTCACTTTTCCCTGAGAAAATACAATGAATAAATAAAGACTTATTGGTACTGAAATCGTCATTTCTTTGTTAGATATTTACGGTGATTTTCTCTTCCTGTAATTCCCACCTTCTTGGATTGGGACTCCGAAGTCACAGAAGAACCCATTAGGTACTCTGTTCAGCCATTTTGTGAGGAATGAATCTTGAAAGTTCAGTCCTCTTAGCACCTCATTACAGTGAATTTTTGTTTCTAGTTAAGGCCTCTTGTCCTTTGCTTGGAAGCTGCCACATTGAAAAGGGGATTAGGGGCTTGGCATGCATAAGAATGGGGTTGCCTGTGCCACTGACTGGGATGAAAGGATGGGGCCATGGCTTGGGGCATGAGACCCTAATAATACTTTGTCCGCTGCTCCTCAAAGCCCTTTACAAATCTTAATTAATTAACCCCCTGCAGCACCCCAGGGAGAAAAGTATGTGAAACTGGGGAAGTTGAGGCCAGAGGAGGTATCTTGACTAACTATAAACACGTTAACATTTTATTTGAGCCCAAGTTTGCTGGCCTTCTAATGAACAATGTATTTTTAAACTTCCAGCTCCCCCTAAGGGAAGGAGGATTTAAAAAGGAAAAAGTTTTTGACTAGAGGTATACCAACTATTACACAAAGTGCAGGGAAACATCAGCAGGACAAGGGTAAGAAGTTTCCTCACCCTCTCCCAGGACTTTGTGCCAAAAGTCAAAGCCGACCATGGAAGCTGCTAAAAGTAACAAACTACTACTACTGGGCTTCAGTAAATGGTCTTGCAAAAGGGAAGGAATCAGGCCCAAACTTACTTCCCAGCATGAGAAGCAGGAAGGATGGAAAAGTTTAAGACTCTTGATGGGTGGGTTACTCATCTCTAGCGCTTCCTTTGATCCCGTCACTCTGTTCAAAGTAGCCCTTTCGTTAGAAACAGTGGAAGACACAATGAATTGGGGGCTACCCGTGCAACCTCTCTCTTCCTTGCCTTGTTTCCTTGATGAAACTGCAACCCAAAGTGAGAAACTACAAGAAGGTTCTTTGAAAACTAGTTTTTTTTTTCCTGCTTTTTAATTTTGAGAAAATTGAACTCCCAATTTCTTTTGTGAGTCAGTGCCTCAAATCCCTGAAATGGTTTTCCTTAAAGGTTAAATCCCTCTTGATTTTCCTATCAGGGTTAAGTGATGGCCTTTCTGTTACTTTAGAAGTCATTCTTAGAGCAGAGCTCTTTTTGGCCTTACCCGTTTTCCGTTTCTTTGGGTAGGTCCTGAGAATGTGCAAATCCTAAAATCTGAGTGCCTTAAATCAGCACAAAATGGATTGATATTTAAGTGCGTCTGTGAGACCGACTAGTGCTAGGACCTCCACAAACGATTAAATCCACTATATAATAAGACCGTAAACAGTAAAAGTAGGATCTTTAAGACTTGTACCAAGGCCCTAAAGCCCGGTTCTGCGGCCTGCCGGTGAGCAGGACGCTGCCTTACCCCATGTCTCAGTGGTCCTAAATTGCCACCTGCGGCTGAGAAGCCGTTGCATCTCTGCGGTGGGGATTCCCGATTGTTGCCCAGTACCGAAGCCCACCTGACGCCTCCCAATCTGAGTCTACCGACGTCTCCGCTCCCCTAGGTGGTATCGACCCAGCCTTCCCCAGCGAGGTCCCAGCACGTGACTTGAAGCGCGGTCGCCCGCCCCACTCGGTCACGCGAGCCCAGCTCTCCCCGGCGCCCCCTCTCCCCGCCCCCGGGAGTGTGCGAACTGCAGCCGGGAATGCTTGCGCGGCTCCTCCCCTGAGTCCGCAGGCGCAGGCCAGGGCCCCGCCCCCTGGGAGACAGGAGGGGGCGTGCCCCAGCGCCCAGCGATGACGTGTTCTTCCAGCGCCACGTCGTGAGGAAGTGTCGGCCTGTTGGAGCGGTTGGAAGACGCTGCCCGGAGCCGAGGAGGTTCTGGGTTCCAGCGGTGAACGAAAAGAGAGAGAGGTGACCGGGCGGGGAAGCAGCTATGGGAGAGACAAAGGGGACAGTGAAAGAGATAAGTGAAGGAATAAATAATTGGGAGACAGACCACTGGGGTAGAAGGTAACAGGTGGGACAACCGAAGGGGTTAGTGACCCGGAGCGCAGAGAGTGGGAAAAGGCCTGGGGGAAGATGGAAAAAGGAAGAAGTGGGGAAGGATCAGAATGTAGACACTGTGATGTGGCAGGAAGCAGACTTAGATCTTCAGGAAAAGTCAGTACAGATACCGAAGAAAAGGGGCTGGGAGCAAGGTCCACCAAGCCGGGAGAACCTCTGTCCCGGAGGTCCCATTGGCTTATAAACTGGGTGGTGGAGGATTAGAGGCTTACACCAGTGTCGTTGGATTCAAATGCTGGCTGCTGTCCGCAGTGCAAGTGGATTTCTACAAGACAGCCATAGCTATTTGCAAGCCCTGGTGACTTCTTATTCTCTTGTTTATCCAGAGTTTTCTGGCTGGTTTCATCTTGTTCTGGGCTCATCTTCTGTCAGGGCAAGAACTATGTCATGGATCAAGGAAGGAGAGCTGTCACTTTGGGAGCGGTTCTGTGCCAACATCATAAAGGTGAGCAGTGGCCCACGGCACCAGTTGGCCTTCTGGTCAGTTGGGTAATCTTGTATCAAAACCTGTTGTTAAAAATGAGTAATCCATGCTCGTGAGTGGAATTTTGCAGTAGAACCAAAGAGTCTTAGCATTGCAAGGAAACGTCCAGGTCTACATTTCTGGCAGATTATTCTCCTAATTTCACATTTTCAGGAAGCCCAGGACCTCCCAATATCATTGAACAGCATAGACTATTAGGTCTTCCTTATAGAGAACTGAAATTTGTTCTCTGGAACTTTGCCTATTATTCCTAGTAGTGTCCTCTATATTTAGATAAAATAACTAATCTTTCCTTGATGTGGCTATAGAAACATAATGGTTAAAACTTTGGGCTCTAGAGGCAGACGAACATAAATGAGAGTCCTGTTCTAACATTTATTAACCATGTGACTTTATATGTTTGTTTTGAGTATTGAATGAAACATACATAGAAAGAGCTCTTAGCATAGTATCTAGCAGTTCTTAATTACTACTATTATTGGGGCTGTTTTCAGCCATTTGAGGACTATTATAATTATTTTATTTCCTACACCTCCCTTGCTTCCCCAAATCTTCCTTCGGCTTTTTCTCTAGGAATCACAGTAATGTTATATTTCTGCATGTGACAAGTTTGAGATTGAAACCAGTCAGCTTGGCTTTGTTTTTCAACCACAGGCTGTCAAGCAGTGGGTAGCAGTGAATTTATGAGTCAGCAAGCCGTGTACCCCCACACGCACTCACACACAAATGCCAACTGAGCTCAGGCCAGGAGATGGAAAGTAGCTCCTCAGGGAACCGCTGCAGTCATGTGTTGCGAAGAACAAACTGCATGACTTGACTGGGATTTTTTTTAAAGGCTACATTTGGGGTACAGAAGCAGAAAATGTTGGCGAGTGCAGGGGAAGCAATCAGTGAGGAGCCCCTCCAGTGAGGGAAATTAGGCTCAGAAGTGAATTTTTGCTGTGGTAAACAACAAAAGGCTACTCTAAGCCAGGTAAGAAGTTTTGTTTGGCCCTAAAAATGTCATTGTTGTTTGCTATGAAATGGCTTCTGACATTTAAATTTTTATAAAAATCCTGATGCTCGGCTTCTCTTGTATACTTAGAAGATCCGACAACATTGGACCCCCGTTTCTGTTTGGCAGGAATTGGATAGAGCTGAGGAATGGATTCCTCTTCTGTGGAGGATGTCCTCTCCATTAGACCACCCCCATCAGTATCTTTCCTGTGCCTTCCAGTTAAAGACTAATGAAACCAAGGTGGTGGTTAAGAACATATGGTTAAAAAATGAACTCTGAAAGCACACAGACCTCAGTGTGAATCCCCACTTTGCCTCTTCTTAGCTGTGTGACTTGTGCAAGTCACTTGATCTCTCTGAGCCTCAGTTTTTTCACCTATAAAATGAAGATAATACTATTTACTTTATAGGTTTGTATGAAAAAAAAAAACTAAGTTGAATTATAGTGTAAGCCTATCATACACTCGGCATGTAGTAAGTGCTCAATCAACATATAAATAAAAAGTGCTTAATACCCATTTATTGAGCTAAAAGCATGAAACATCCAATTTCCTTCCCCAGGGCTTTTACCATATACCTCAAGCCTATCAGCCTTGGGTGTAGTGTCCCCTTTTATTCCTGAAGAGTATGTGATATGTTCCTCATTTGTCTCCTAACTTCACAGGCAGGCCCAATGCCCAAACACATTGCGTTTATAATGGATGGGAACCGTCGCTATGCCAAGAAGTGCCAAGTGGAACGGCAGGAGGGCCACTCACAGGGCTTCAACAAGCTGGCTGAGGTGGGTGTGGGTGGCAGAACCCAAGGTGAAGAGCCTGTGGCGAATTTGATTATAGCTAGAAAACCAGGCCCTGAGTTTGCTGTGGTTTGAGAGTGGTTTTTTAGCCGTTTGTTTTATTGCTTACTTGCTAGCTATAGGTCTCCTATCAACATTAACAAAAAATTAAATTATCCAGTGAATCATCACGAAATATTAGAAATAAGGACAAAATTGCCTCCTCTTGCCACCTTAAAAATCAACAGTTTATATCTTTCTGTGCCTCATCCCAGTCCTTGTAATATGTTCTAACATGCCTTAACATTTGTAAAATTGTATCTGTAGCTTCAGTAATCTTATTTTTACCTGATGTTTTGGCAGGTATTTTTCTGGGTTGGTGTATAGCTTTTCTAATTAAATGGTTTAATGACTGTAGACTATTTTATCATGAGGCTCTGACATAATTTGTTTAGCTGCTCCGCAATTTTTTTTTTTTTGAGGAAGGTTAGCCCTGAGCTAACATCTGCTGCCGATCCTCCTCTTTTTGCTGAGGAAGACTGGCCCTGAGCTCACATCTGTGCCCATCTTCCTCTACTTTATATGTGGGATGCCTGCCACAGCCTGGTTTGCCAAATGGTGCCATGTCCACACCCGGGATCCGAACCGGTGAACCCCGGGCCACTGAAGCGGAAAGTGCACACTTAACCTCTGTGCCACTGGGCTGGCCCCGTCCACTGTTATTGGACGTTATAAATAGTACAGTTCTAGAATAAACTCTTCAAAGTGGCATTTCTGGAGCAAGGGTAGGGTGACTACCTATCTTGGTTTGCCTGAAGCTGAGGGATTTCTCAGGACCCAGGCCTTTTAGGACACAGGCCTTTTAGTGCTTAATCTGGAGAAAGTGCCAGGCAATCTGGGACATTACTCTAAGTAAAGATCACGGACATTTTTTGGTTTTAATGCATATTGCAAATTGGCAAACATTAAATTTAACAATAAGAATGGAATATGTCATTCTTTGTGAAACTAACTTTAAGAAGAATGGAAATATGGTGTGTAGCCCACAGATCTCAGCTTCCTGGCCCAAGAACATGGCCTGATGCCAGGGCAGTGATATTTTTGCCTTGAGTGAGAGGCTGTGGGGCTCTTCCCAACACTCTGTGGAGGTCTTTAGGTTCATTGACACCAGCTTCTTTGTGACTAAGTCAATGGCAGTTTTGCCTAGTGCTTAGGAGCTTAAGCTCTGGAGTCACTCAGAACTCATTGGCGCTCCCGCTCTGCCACTTCCTGGCTCTGTGACCAGCAGTGAGTTACACAACTCCCCTTTGCCATCTGTAAAATGGGGATAGTGATAATCTCTACCTCAGGAGATTATGTGAGGATTAAAGAAGATGGCACAGTGAAAAGTATGTGGCACAGGACCTGGCATAAAGGAAGTGCTCAAAAAATTGAAGCTGTTGTTATTAGAACCTGTATTGACTGAAGTCAATGTTAGGTTTGAACCCAGATGTACCAGTCAAGGTGGCTGCCCTGTAAGGTCTATAGGGCCTGAACCTTTTCAAGTGTCAGGTTCTCACTGGTAATTTTCCTAATGTGGCAGTGAATTGGTTTGTGTGTCTGTTAGGGGATTAGGAAGGCAGCTCTTCAGCTTTGTTTCTTCAGTTCTGTTTGAATGTCTTCTATCCCCTTGAACCTCCAGACTCCCCATCTCAGCACTGTTATTCTCAGCTCCAGTTTCTTCTCCACCGTTAGTGGTACCGGGTAGAGCAGCCCCAAAGGACCCAGTTTAAGTATGAGTTTCACTTCTTTTTTCATTGAGGTATAAGTTCATACAGTGAAATGCAGATTTTGCATTCTGACAGCTGCATTTATCTGTCTAATCCACACTCCTGTCAAGGTATAGAACATTTCCATCTCTCCAGAAAGTTCCCTGGTACCCCCTCCCAGTCAAACTCTGTCCCACCTCCCTCTTCCTCTGTCAGGCAACCACTATTCTGATTTCTGTTACTAAAGATTAGTTTTTGCTGTTGTAGAATTTCATATAATGGATTCATACAGTAGAGTTGTGGATTTTGACACATTTCTTCAACTCTGAACCTCAGTTTTATCGTCTGTAAAGTAGGCATGAAAACAATAATGCCATTCTCAAAGAGTTGTTTGAAGAATCTAATGAAATAATGTGAAAACCCTTTGCAGACTTCAGTGCTGCGCAGCTGTGCGACTGTTGCTTTTATTCTTATAACTCATCAGCCTCTTAGTCTAACGGAATGTGAAGTTATGCTGTGAGTAACAATACTTGGCTTTTTTTATATTGTTCTTTAGCTACTCTATGAGGGATGGATTGTGATCTTGTTTTACATATAAGGAGATTTAGGCTCAGTGGGGCTAAATGATTTGCCTACAGTCACATAGCAAGTACATGATGGAGTCAGGGACTAAAACCTAGATCTTTACTCTCAGCGAAGAGTTCTTCCCAATAAACCACAATAGCATCAGGATAATAATACTCTTTAAGTTCACATTTTTCAGTTTCTTCAGTGGCGGCTTTTTTCATTATTTGGTTCCTTATTCTGACAGAAGCACTGGCATTATCCTGGCTTTACCCAGTGTAGGGAGGAGAGAAGTCTGTCTCTTTCCTCCAACAGCGAGTCCGGGCCAAGGCACCTCTTATTTCCCTTCCTTCTCTTCCTTGTATCCTAGCTCCTTGCCTTCTCCCCTCTCAGACTCTGCGCTGGTGTTTGAACCTGGGCGTCCTAGAGGTGACGGTCTACGCGTTCAGCATTGAGAACTTCAAGCGCTCCAAGAGTGAGGTAGACGGGCTCATGGATCTGGCCCGGCAGAAGTTCAGCCGCTTGATGGAGGAACAGTAAGATACCGTCAGAGGGGAGAGGGTGTTCCTCCACCACCCCCAGCCTTACCCTAACCCTCAACTCTCTTCTCTGAGGCTAACTGAAGGAACTCATCCCTTTTCATCTTAGTCAGATGTCTGTTAGCAAAAATGGCAAGCTAGTTTTTCTTTCTTTTTCTTTTTTAAGGGGGGCATTTATTTGAGGATATAGAGGTATTTCACAGAATTCAAGGACAAGTACAGTCAGCCTCAAGCAAAACTGAAACCAGGAGTTGAAATCCATTAGGTAGAACCTCTTTGTACATTTACGTCCTTCTCTCTGCAGACCAGGTTTCTCTGCTTCAAGAGAGCAGCCCAGAGTTAACTAAATCCCTTAATTGGCCGGCCTTAGATCACATTTCTACCTCAGGACCAATAAACTGTGACCAGGGGAGTAGAGAGAGAGAAATGTTGAGAAAGTCATTTTCTGTTGTGCTCTCACCCCTAAAAAGTTACTATAGTCCCCTGCGTATTCTCTCGGAAGGCACAGGATGATGCGTAAGAGGCTTTTATGGGGAAGAGTCAATACCATTCTTAGCTGTCACTAAGTTTAAGCTCAACTTAGGGAGCAAAGTCAGAAAGGGTCAAAGAGGAAGTTTGATGGAGATTGTCTCCTTCAAAGTGTGGAACCCTTTCCAGCCAGGACTGCCCAAAAGTCTTCGTTACAACCATTCTCTGCCCAGCTGCTCCCAGTACCAGGACCAAGAAGGTGAGAGAGCAGAGAGCCTAGAGCTCCAGTGGAGCTGGGCCGAGAACAGTTTTGTCATTTCTGTCCCTGTGTGGGTCAAGGGTAGTCGGGAGGGTAACCAGGCTTCTCTCTGTCCATGTTAGGATGGTGAGACTCTGGGCCACAGACATTGCTTCCTGGTGCCCAGCAAAACTTGTATGGCTCAGAGTTCACACCTAAGAGCCTGGGATGGAGGCATGGGGCACATTCCAGGTGTTCAAATTCTTCTGTAATTCACACTAATCTTGCCTTTTTTTTTTTTTTTGAGTGGGGAAGATTGTCCCTGAGCTAACATCTGTGCCAATCCTTCTCTGTTTTATATGTGGGATGCCGCCACAGCATGGCTTGACGAGTGGTGTGTATGTCCATGCCCAGGATCTGAACCCACGAACCCCTGCCTAAGTGGAGTTTGTGTACTTAACCACTATGCCACTGGACCAGCCCCCTAATTTTACCTTTTTAAAGTGCTTATACTATGTGCCAGGTCCTGAGCCTAACATGTGTTCTCATTTAATAGTGACATTATCCTGTGAGAAAGATATTATCTCAGTTATAGAGAAGTGGAAAATAAAAACCAGAGAAGCTTAGGTGTGTATGCTGGGTCACACAGCTGTCAGACAGGCAAAGCCAAGACAGACAGGATCTTTAGAACTACAGAGCTGAGCTGTTGTCTACTACTCTGTACTCCGAGAAACAGGAAGTAATCTTGCAGTTCCTGAAAGATCAAAATGCATGGCGGTAGAGGTGCTACTGCGATTGCTCTAAGCAGTCAGTAGAGAAAACAGTCTTAGGCTGTAAAGTCCTGGGCAGGGCAAGAGGAAACCTTAGCGGTGGTTTTCCAACAGTGTCCCACAGAACTCCAGAGTTTTGAGAGGTGGGCATGCAAAGAACCTAGAGGGAATGGGGGTATAGGGTGCTGGTTTGCATTTATCTGTTTTATATATTGGGCTTCTATTTAAGATTTGATTTGAAGAAAGAGTTCCTTGGCTGAAAGAAGGTTGGAAAACCACTGGCCTAATCAGTTTCATGAGTTGGGAAACTGAACTCTATTGAAGAGAAGAGAAAGGCTTGCCCATGGTCACACAATAAGCTAGTGGCAGAGCCCGGTGGGAACCCAGGTTCCCCAGCTCCTTGCCAGGGATTTTGCAGCTCCTCTATAGACTTCACTGAGTCACATGCCTGATGTCTAAGAATAAGCACTTTCACCTACGTTATCTCACTCACCATAAGCCAGTGTAGATAGTATGGCGTGGATGGTTATCACCCCCAGGTTACAGGGGGAGGAGAACTGAGGCTCAGAAAGGCAGAATGGTTATGCAAGGTCAGCTAGTAAGTAGTGGCACTAGGATTTGAATCTAGATATTCTTATTCACATTTTGCCTTGATTTGGGTATTATTTGTCTACTATAGCTCCAGCAGGTTCTTGAAAATAGGTGGTTAGATCTTGCTTCACCCTTGAAGACATGTGGTTGAGGGTTATAGTGTGGATAGGCTGTGGATGTGGCATTCAGCTCTGGATCAGAGTTCTCCAAGACCTGCTGGATACCCCCACCCTAGAGTTTACTTCTTGTTATTAAGGCCCCAGTTTCTAAACATTATTTATTCAGTTTCTCCATAGCATTCTCAGGTGAGAGAAGCTGGTTGGGTGACAGTGCATTCATGCTCACCGTGCAGAGTTTGGGGGTTACTGTATGGAGGCAGTGTAATGTCATGATTGAGGGACGGGCTCTGGAACTAGACTCCCTATGTTCAAATTCTGGCTTTCCACTCACCAGCTGTCTGATTTTGAGCAAATAACCTCCCTTTGTCTCAGTTTCCTCATCTGTAAAAGGGGGATGATAATGGTGTCTGCCTCAAAGGTTGGTGTATGGATGGAGTGTGTTGATGCAGGTAAAGCACTTAGACCAACGTCTGGCACTTAGTAACATATAATTAATGTTAGATCATATTTCACCAGAAGATACAAAAGATAAGGCAGTTCCCACCCTTGAGGAGTTTATTCACTTGCCAAAATGGGACAAACAGCACGGAGTATGTAAAATGCAACTTGCCGACAAGGACACCTGAGGCGGTGTAATGTGTGGTGAAGAGTTTGAGTTCTCAAGTCAGATAGACCTGGGTTTCAATCCTGACCTAGCACTTAGGGCTGTGTGACCTTGGGGAGTCCCTGTCTGAGCCTCACTTTCCCGCTATAGAATGAGGAATGTAGCGAACTCCTTTCAGAGCTGTTGAGGGAATGCAGTAAAATAATACGCGTGGAACAGTGCCTGACACATAGGAAAGCACTCAAAAACTGGTAGTTGGGTAGTATCAGCTCTCCACCTCAGAGGGTGCTCTGTCCCAACCCTGCCTCCTTTCCCCCATCAGGGAGAAACTGCAGAAGCATGGGGTATGCATCCGGGTCCTGGGTGATCTGCATTTGTTGCCCTTGGATCTCCAGGAGCTGATTGCACAAGCTGTGCAGGCCACCAAGAACTACAACAAGTAAGTTTTCACTTTCCCTTAGAGACCTGTATCAATCTTGGACTCCCTGTTAGCTTTAGGGAGACATCCTAGGCCTTCCTTGGTCTGCATTTGGTACAAGAGGCAGTGAAGGGGTGGTTTGGGATGCTTAGAGACTTCTTCCGTGTGCAGGGCAGTGAAGGGGCAGTGAAGGGGCAGTGAAGGGGTGGTTTGGGATGCTTAGAGACTTCTTCCGTGTGCAGGGCAGGCCAGAGAATGTTTTGCAATACCATGTTTTATGTATGTATGCGCACACATACAGTTTCTCATCCTCTTCCCTCTTCATGTGTCTACTTCCCCCTAAAAGAAAATGTGTGTATATATATATATATATATATAGTTTTTACTTGACAGGGGATGGGGGGGGGGGGGGGGGGGGAATGAAGCAGGCCTTATCCCTGGCTCTGAAGAGAGATGCTTCAAGAACTTCTTTTTCTGTCCCACTCCTTTAACCTATGGCTGGGATGACCTTGGGAGGTCATGCAGCTGCAGAAGGAACAGTTCCTTATGTATGGCTTTGGAATAGAACGTGTTTGGCAGTGGATTTGTTTTGCATCAAATTTCCTTCCTCTCCTCCTTTGCTTTTGCTAATATCACAGTGGATTCACATCCTCTGAAAGCTGGTTAGCAATAGAAGGGGAGAAGGTTAGGAGGGTAATAAGGGTCATTTAGTATTTGTCTTATTACAAAACTAGTAACATCTTTATTCCAAGAAAACTTGGAAAACACAAAGACTTGGTGATCTCACTTTTCAGGTTTCTGTGGTTAACACTGGTGTGAGTTGGGTCTTCCAGGGAAGGAGAGGTGCTCTGTAATCAGTGACTCCAGTCCTTAGTCCCTATCCTCCTTTGCTACATTATTTTCTTCTGCTCTTCCCAGGTGTTTCCTGAATGTCTGCTTTGCATACACATCCCGTCACGAGATCAGCAATGCTGTGAGAGAGATGGCCTGGGGAGTAGAGCAAGGCCTGCTGGATCCCAGGTATCCCTAGTTGTTTAGGGAGGTAACTGATAGGGAAGACAGGTACACACAAAACCATAAATCCCCTCCTAAGCCGTGTACTTGGGCTCGACTTGAAGTCAAATCACACTTAGAGCTTAGGATTGGCTTATTATAGCCTGCTTCAGAATTCCTTTGAAGAAATTCTTTACACACCAAGAAGCCCCAGAAAAACAGCATAGCAGGTAGCAAGGCTGTGGCATTCAGTAAAAAATTATGTCCTCCTGGTTCGTTCACAGTGTTTTTCCAAGAATGATTTTTCAGGACTACAGCTTGTTGGGGGGTATAGTCCTTTAGGTCTCTCATGTTACAATTTCATCCAAGATTCAGGTATTTCTCAGAAAGAAAATTGTTCTTTAGAAGCCAGATATCCACTCAGTCCCTCTCATGTTATTATTAGTGTAACCTTTGGTAATAATATTAGTAAACTAATAATAGTAATAGTAAAATAATAGTAGCAAAAATAACCAAGGAAGTGTGTTATGTTCTGTATTTTATTAAATCATTAATCTCATGTGTGAGAAATTCAAGTCTTTTCTCCATTTTATAGATGAGAAAACTGAGCTCAGCATTAAAGTTACTTTCCCAAGGTCATTCTGCTTGTAAGTGCCAGAGCTGGGACTCGCTGTGTGATTCCAGAGTTCCTGTTCTTTACTTCTGGTATAGGAGATCTTGGGACCCAGGAATTTTTCTGATTCTCTGCTTGGGTATAATTTGATTTATCCAGGAAACTAAACTAAAAATCAAGAAGTTACTCGGTGAGAATGGAAATAGATAAGAAAAGGAGAACGTTTTTAGGGCTATTTTATGAATTCCTGTCTTCCCCAAAGCTTGGTGATCTTTCTGTGCCACATAGTTCATTCATTCAATCAATCATTCATTCATTCAGCAAATATTTTTTAAGTGCCAACTGACGGCCCGGCACATTGCTATACATAGGGGATACAGTGGTAAGAATAAAAATACATATTTCCTGCTCTTGTGGACCTCTGTAAGGGAAACAGACATTAATCAAGATTATACAAATTAGCATAAAATTATAATGGTGTTAAATGCTATAAAGGCATTGGTGCGTGGTACAACAAGAATTTCTAATAAGAGGAATAGACCTGGTAGGGAAGGCTCCCCCAAAGAAATGATAAGTGACGTAAGAAGGAATAATAAGCAGTAACTGAGGAAGGAGGCAGTGGTGCAAGGAGCTTGTTGGTTGCAGAAAGACTGTTGGAAAAATTCAAGTAGAGAGTACCTGGAAGGGAGCTTGGATTATGGTGGTGGAATAGATTGAATAGACTGCATTGAGAGCTACAAAATAGATAAAGTCGAGAGGACTTGATGGACTGACTCTGGGTAAAGGATGTGTTATGGGTGACTCCAGGGTTTTTGACTTATGAAACAGTAGATAGTGGTGCATTTCACTATGCTAGGGAACCTTGAGAGGGAATCTGGATTGAGGAAGGTCAGGAGTTTGGTTTGGGATATACTGTAGATGCTGATATAGGTGTCAGGAAGACAGTTGAGAGAGAGGTGGGGGCTGGAGACTTCAGGGTGGAGGTCTTCTGTATGTAGGTGGTAGCTAAAGCAAAGAGAGGGCATGAGGAAGCTAAGAGTCATCGAGAGTGAGAAGAGAGGGTCGGAGTTTTGAGAAACGTAAGTTTTACTGGCTGGGTAGAGGAGAATGAGCCTTAAGGAAAAAAGAGAGTGAACAACCAGAAAGCTAGGAGGAAAACTAGGCTGTCAGTGTTACAGGAGCCAAGAAAAGAGGGAATTCGTTGGTGTAGGCCAGGAGGGACGTGGGCACTGGGAGAACAAGTATAGAATGCTGTAGAGAGGTCAGTTAAGATGCAGATTGAAAATTTAACTGTTGGGGAAAAAATTAAGATGCTGGTTAAGTTGGTGGGGTCAGAGCAGGGCAGGAAGTTGAGATACATAAATAGATGAGGGATATGTAAGTAGATGCAAGTTATTGGTATTTTCTAATTTTTGGCTTGGGGTGATTTCATAGTTCATTATGTTATTGTGCTTTACAATTAATGTTTCATATAATCTTTGTATGAATGAAATAGTATACTAAAGATAGTAAGGGACAAATGTTCGTGCTAGAAAGAAAGAAAGCTATTTAGCAAGCAAATTTAATATGTGTTCACGCCTAGAACTCTGATCTTGATTCCTGGTTCAGTGTGCTTTATACTCATACCACACTGCAGTAACCACTGACCTTTATCTTCTGCTTCTTGCCCAGCAAGTTTTCCTGTATCCATTTTCTCTGCCTTGCATGACTTAGTAGCGTGCCTTTGTGGAGTTAGTCATGCGGACATGGTGTGGGCTGGGCAGGGTCACCAGGACGAGGAGACTGATGTCTCAGCCCACAAGCTCAGGAAGCTTAGTGTTCAGCTCAGACAGGGCTAATCAGGGCCTGAGGTGGTGCTCTTTACATTATTCAAATTTAGACAATCTGCATTTATTACAGGGAATCAGTGAGTTACAATTAGTCTCTACTCGTCCAGTAGCTGGAATTTTTCTGTTCTCATCACCACTATCCAACTCCTGATTTTCCTTTCTTCTAGGATGTATTTTTTTCTAACAATTGTATTTGTAGATTGTTTTCTGAGTCTGGAGTTCCAGAAAAGGGATTAGGTTGCACGTAAAGGATATTTAATAAACGCTCTTTCACTGAGTCACCTTGAGCAGGTCCTTTGACCCGCTGTAGACCTTTGTCGTCGTCTTAAAACAATAGTGTTAATATTAATAATTGCTAATGTTTACTGAGCATTTATTCTTTGCCAGGCATCTGCTAAGTACTCTATGTACATTATTTCATTTAATCCTTAGACAGACCTAATGATGCATACTGTTTTTTCTCCATTTTAAAGATGAGAATACTGAGACACAGAGAAGTTAAGTAACTTGTCCAAGTTCACATAGTCAGCAAAGCTTGGGGCCAGGATTTCAACCTGGCTCTAGAGCCTATGCTTTCATTCACTATGGTATATGCTGACTGCCGTATAGGAAGGTTGAGATGAACAATAATGAGGTATAAAAATAAAAGTTAATAACTAATATTTATTGGATCTTATGAAACAGGCACAAGGCTAAGAGTTTATCATGTATGTTCTCATATTTTCATATAAGGTAGTGAATATTATTTGCCCCATTTTATAAGACCAATGAACTGTGGTTTTTAAAGGTTAATTGACCTGCCCAAAGTCACATACACGACTAAGTGGAACAGCCTGGACTCCAGCTCAGTTCCATCTACCTCCAAAGCTTGCGTTCTTCACCATCTTCTTTATAAATTAAATGCTAGAGAAATGTACTGTGTTGTTATCACAGGGCACATTTCTGTCTTTGTACCTTACCTTTGCACGTTCTAGAAAGGATCTGCCTTTCCCAAATGTTACTGGGAACACACTAACACGTTCTTACTCTTCTTCCTGTTCCCCTGATGCCAGACCATTCACTGTCTTGTTGGTACTCACTGTTGCCAAGTCTCCTTTCCAGAGGCTGTTGCCATGTCTCCATTATAGGTTTTAAATTGATTTAATTTTAGTTTGGCCATTTCCTGAAAGACATAGTTTATTAAGCAGGAGCCATTGTCTTATTGAATACTTGTGCCCATATCCTTCCAGAAGGTTTTCTACTTTTTTTTTAATTGTTATAAGATATTTGTTGTTAGTGCTGTCAAGTTGATTGTGTCTCCTAGCCCCTCTGTGTACAGTAGAGCAGAACCCTGCCCGGTTGTTTTGGGCCATCCTCTGATCTTCCAACACTATATTAGACAATGCTCCACTGCTCTTCATAGGGTTTTCATGGCCAATTCATGGCCATAGGAAGTGGGTGGTCAGGTCCTTCTTCCTATCCTGGTAGCTCAGCTGAAACCTGTCCACACTGGGTGTCCCTGCTGGTATTTAAAATACCAGTGGCGGGGCTGGCCCCGTGGCTGAGTGATTAAGTTCGCGCGCTCCGCTGCGGACGGCCCAGTGTTTCGTTGGTTCGAATCCTGGGCACGGACATGGCACTACTCACCAAACCACGCTGAGGCAGCGTCCCCCATGCCACAACTAGAAGGACCCACAACGAAGAATATACAACTATGTACCGGGGGGCTTTGGGGAGAAAAAGGAAAAAAATAAAATCTTTAAAAAATATAAAATAAAATAAATAACATAAAATACTAGTGGCATAGCTTTCAGCATCACAGCAACACACAGCCGCCATGGTATGACAAGCAGCAGATGGCTGTATGGTTCCCTGACCAGGAAATGAACCCAGGCTACAGTGGCTGAATTTTAACCACTAGACCACCAAGGCTGGCTTATGTGATAAGACATACGTAACGTAAATTTTACTATTTTAACCTTCTTTTTTTTAATTTTATTTTTTTTCATTCTTCTCCCCAAAGCCCCCCAGTACAGAGTTGTATATTTTAGTTGTGGGTCCTTCTAGTTGTGGCATGTGGGATGCCTCTTCAACATGGCTTGATGAGTGGTGCTAGGTCTGCACCCAGGATCTGAACCAGTGAAACCCTGGGCTGCTGAAATGGAGCACGTGAACTTAACCACTCAGCTATGGGGCTGGCCCCTATTTTAACCTTTCTCTTTTTTTCCCAAGGAAGATTAGCCCTGAGCTAACATCTGCCGATCCTCCTCTTTTTGCTGAGGAAGACTGGCCCTGAGCTAACATCCGTGCCCATCTTCCTCCACTTTATGTGTGGGATGCCTACCACAGCATGGCTTGCCAAGCAGTGCCATGTCTGCACCCAGGATCCGAACCGGCGAACCCGGGGCCGCCGAAGCAGAATGTGTGCACTTAACTGCTGTGCCACTGGGCCAGCCCCTATTTTAACCATTTTGAAGTGTACAATTTAGTGGCATAAAGTATATTCATAGTGTTCTGTAATTGTCACCACTATTTCCAGAACTTGTTCATTATCCCAAACAAAATACTCCTTTTAAAAGGAATACAACCTCCCCCCAATATGCACATACTTTTATAATTATAAAGGTCATACATGTTCATTAGAGAAAATTTGCAAACTACTGGATGTATAAAGATGAAAATTTAAAGCTCCCAGGATCCCACCCTCAGCAACACCCCTGGTAACATTTTAAGTATTTTCTTCTAGCTCTTCCTTTGTGCTTAGGTATGTGTATGTGTGTTTAATTAACTGTATTGATTTTTCCCATCAGGTTGTGACAGTGTTTGAAAATACATTGTCAAAAGACTTTTTTAGCCTATAAGCTCCCCACTTTGGGAAAACCAATGTGTATTTATTTCTGAAATCTGTTTTCAATGATTCATTCATTCATTTGTTCAAACATGTATTGAGTCTTTCTGTGTCCCAGGAACGTCCTATGCAGGAAGAGCAGAAATACAGAGATGAATATGTCAAGGGGCTTGCCTCCAAGCAGCTCACAATCTGGGTCATATACACAAATAAGTAATCCGTGTTGCTGTGGACCACAGTAATGGATGTGCAGGGCACAGGGCTGGGGCTGACAAAGTAGTGATCAGCTGTGGTTGGGAGTCAGCCAGAGTCATCTTTTTAGAACGCAAATCCAAATATGACATAAATATTTATAACAGAAGAAATCACACTGTGAATAGTTTTCAATTTGAATCATGCTTTGTTCACTTAATGTTGTAATGTGAGCACTCTTCCATGTCCTGTGTTTTTAATAATTCTTCAGATAATTATTTCTAATGGCTACAGAATGTATCTTGCTTTAATTTACTTAACCAATATGCTATTTGTTGGTCATTAGGCTGTTTCCAATTTGTCACTATTACAAATAATGCTTTAGTGAGATCTATGAACTTAACTCTTGTCTGCATTTTGGATTGTTTCCCCAGGTTCTGGGTCTAGATGTGTCCATTTCACCTTATTCTTGCCAAGATTTTTTTTTTAATGTAAACTATAATTTTATAGGTAAAAATTAGTATTTTACTCTTATTTAAGAGAAATTATTTCTTAAAAGTCTTTATGTAGACAGCTCATGCCATTTAGTGGTGGATTTTTGCTGGCCAAAGCACAGATGTTTGGTTTTCCTTATGTCAGTTTTATCTTTCCCCACTTAGAGTTTCCTACCTTTTGGTAAGAATTCTGTGCACCGCCAGAAGTAGGTAGAACAAACTTTTTGCAGACACATTTGAAACTCAGAAATTAAGTGGGGATCTGAAGTCACATAACAAAGGGGCAGGACTAGAAATAATGTTTATTCTTTTTTGTTTATAGTTCCCAGGGTACACTCAAATCTGTTATTTGATTTGACCCTTACAATAACCCTTATAAGTAGATTGCATAAATGTGCCCATTTCAAAGATAAGAAAACTGAGAAATTATGTTTATTGTACAAGGTCTCACATTTCTTTTTTTTTTTTTTTAATGGTTGGCCCTGAGCTAACATCTGTTGCCAGTCTTTTATTTTTTTTCTTCTTCTTCTTTTCCCCAAAGACCCCCAGTCCATAGTTGTATATTCTAGTTGCAGGTCCTTCTAGTTGTGCTATGTGGGATGCCACCTCAGCATGGCCTGACGAGTGGTGCTAGGTCTGCGCCCAGGATCCAAACCAGTGTAACCCTGGGCCGCCGAAGTGGAGCTGATGAATTTAACCACTCAACCCCAGGGCCGGCCCCTCACGTTTCTTAGTTAGAGAATTAAGACCATGTTGCCAAGACAAGACTGTCAGATTATCAGGGAGGTCTGAACCAGAGCCCTTTCTATTGCCCAGTCATAAGTGAATCTTGTTTCCCCTGTGATGGTACAGAAAAGAAAGCTCCCTCAGTGGTTTGCAAAAAGATGAGTGACTTACCCAAAGGCACATAGCTAGAAAGTGTAGAGTTTCATTTTGAACACTCAGCCCACATCTCTCTGCTTTTTTGACCATGATTCCAGAAGAATGTTCCCACCAAGAAATCTTGTCTTCTAGACCCTTCCCAAGATGCAATTCATACCACTTGGAGATTCCAAATTCTGCCTCTGGGTACTTGGTGGGACAGATAAACAGTGTTCTTAGAACCAACAGACACGAGCCTTGCAAATACCCTCCTCCATGGACAGGAAAGTTTTAGTTCAGATAAATGCTGCCAGTCCCCATTCTTCCTCCATTCTATCTCCTTTCTGAGTGTCTGCTTGGGAAAGTAGCTCTTACCAAACACAGGAGGGCTTATCATTTTGCTGTTTTTTACAATCCTAAGTAATGTGGATTTTTTGCATTGTTTCAGGGTCCATATGAAGTCAAATTTAAGGTTTAAAAAATGTTTCCTATAATAAATTCAAACAATAACAGAAGTAAAAAGTAAAAAGAGCTAGTCTTTTCATCTTCTCCAACCTTCCAGAAGTACTAACTGTGAATTGTATGGTGTGTGACTTTCCAGACTTTGTTCTTTGTTTATATATACATATGTTCACATGTTGAGTGTTTGAGAGTGTAGGTGTGTCTTTTCCACGCTGTATATTTTCTGAAACTTGCTTTTCTCATTTAATATTAGATCTTAGACATCTTTCCAAATCAGTGCATTTAGATTTATCTTTATTAAAAACAGATGCATAGTGTTTCATCAGACTGTAGGGTCATAGGGTATATGCATTTTAAAAAACAAGGTGTGGGGCCGGCCCATGGCTGAGTGGTTAAGTTCACGTGCTCTGCTTCAGTGGCCCAGGGTTTCACTGGTTCGGATTCTGGGTGTGGACATGGCACCGCTTGTCAGGCCCTGCTGAGGCAGTGTCCCACATGCCACAACTAGAAGGACCCACAACTGAAAATATGCAACTATATACCGGGGGGCTTTGGGGAGAAGAAGGAAAAATTTTTTTAAAATCTTTAAAAAACAAGATTTTTTTTTTTGAGGAAGATTAGCCCTGAGCTAACATCTGCTCCCAGTCCTCCTCTTTTTGCTGAGGAAGACTGGCCCTGAGCTAACATCCGTGCCCATCTTCCTCTACTTTATGTATGGGACGCCTACCACAGCATGGCTTGCCAAGCAGTGCCATGTCTTCACCCAGGATCCGAACTGGCAAATCCTGTGCCACTGAAGCAGGACGTGCACACTTAACTGCTGTGCCACCGGGCCGGCCCCAAAAACAAGATGTTTTAAGTGAAGGACAACACATATTCTAATGGGTGCATCTGGTTTTAGGCCTGCGGCTAAATGACTTTGGGCAAATCACTCATCTTCTCTGAGCCTCAGTTTCTTTATCTATAATGTGAGGATAGAAATACCTTATGTAGTTTTGAGGATTAAAATGATTCGTTAATTTATCAAGCATTTGTTGAGGGCCTTTTGCGTACTAGGTAGTATTGGCGAATGTATTTGGTGGTGTTCTATAAACTGGGAAGCTTTATGTAGGGAAGCTCACCAGGAGAATAATCCAAAAAGAGATGTCTGCTTATCTTTGTCTCTTTTCTGCTCACCTTAGTGATGTCTCTGAGTCTCTGCTTGATAAGTGCCTCTATACCAACCACTCTCCTCATCCCGACATCTTGATACGGACTTCTGGGGAAGTGAGGCTCAGTGACTTCCTGCTCTGGCAGGTAGGTGGTTTCTAACCACTGCTCTATTTGTGTCAGCCTGAAAACTGTGACTGCACCTGCGTAATGGATTAGAGGGGCTCATCCCCACCGCCAGCCGTGCTTGCACCAGAGAACTTGGGAGTTGGGGGTGGGGAGCTAAAATCTGGAGAAATGTCTCCAGGCTGTGCCTGGTAACGTTTGCTGTCCCCCCACCGCCATCTGGCCCTGGCTTTGCGAGCCTGTGTGGTTCTTGCTGTATAAAGTGCCTAGAGGAAAAATCAAGGCTATCCAGCTGTGGTGAAAACTTCACTTGTGCCCCTGTTCAAGGACCTGGATTTCTGCCTTGTGTCCCTGAGCATAAGCTCCTGCCCTAGTAACCTGCCAGGTACCCCAGCACCTCTGGGCTGGAACCTTGCCTTGCAGATACCAGTCTCTCTCCTCCAGAATAGAGGGCCGCATCTATGCAAGCGTAGTCCACAAGGAATATAAACTATATGCAGACTCTTTCTTAGGGGCCTGCCATTGCCTCTCAGCTCAGGTACCCCAGTGTAGGTAGTCCCCCAAAGGCTCATATCCAAATAAGTTTGTCTTTGCTTGAAGGTCTCCATCATCTGTTAACTTGGCCCCTGGATAGCACATGACTGGGGGAAGTCCTTGTTCAAGGAGAGGATGGAGGGAAAGACTCAGCTTGGAAGCAATTCACATGATAAAGTTCCAGAAATTTTAATGTGCCATAGTCTTAAAGTGAAGTAACAAGATTTAGCTACTAAAGATACTTGCAGTCTTTGGCTTTACTGAAAGAAGTATAATGTGCAGCTTATGCTTCTGTGGCCCACTCTGCTGTTCAGATCACATCTGGAAAGTTTACTTCTGGACACTGAGTTTTAAGAGACTACATTGGTAAACTAGAGAACTTACCAGAAGAGGCCAACCTGGATGGCAAGGAATCTGGACTGATGTCCTGTAAGGAATGAGTGAAGGATAGTGGTCTGCAAAAGGGAAGCGTGGTGACAGTTTATTCCCTCGGAAAAAGATATTGGGTTACTCCTTTGTGCTGGGAATATGGCAGTGACCAAGTCAGAAATAATCCCTGCTGTCTTAAAACTTATAGTTTGTTGGCAAAGACAAACTGAAGAAGTCAATACAACCTTAGGAACAGATAACAGGCTGCTCTAATCTAGACTTCAAATATTTGAAAGAATGTCACTTTGAAGAAGCAGCAAACTTGTTCCAGAGAAAAGACCTGAGACCTTGGTAGAAGTTCAGGGAAAGTGACATTGGTTTAGCATGACAAGCTATCTGACAACTGAAGTTATGTCCCTTGAGGCACTGAATTCCTTATCACTAAAGGTATCAAGCAGTGGCTGTCAAGAATATTCCAAAAGAGATTCTTACGTCAGTGACTGTTATTAAAGTTCACCCAACTCTGTGCTCTGTTTATATACATTATCTGGTTTAATTTTCATAGTACTCTAAAAACTAGGTATTCTTATTACTTAATCTTACAGTTGAGGAAACTGAGGCCCAGAGCAGTTAAGTAATTTGCCTCTGGTCAAACAGATGGAAAATCCTGGAGCCAGAATTCAAAGCCAGGCAGCCTGGCCCCAGAGCCCATGCTCTTAATGACACTGCGCCATTCTCTGCTACTTAAAAATAACAATGGCAGCTACCATTTGTTCATTGCTGACTTTTATCGGACAGTGTGTCTCCCAGATGACCTCTCAGGGCCAAGAGCCAATAACATAATCCAGATGTTATTTCATAGTCCTAAAATTGGCTCTTAGAAAAATCCTGGTGGAAATGTTGATCTAGTCTTGTTTTAGTTCTGCCTTGTTACAGGCAGGTGATCTAACTGCCTCAGATGACCCCTCCCCCTATCAGTGAGTGAATCAGGGCTGGCAGCAGCCGCTGCAGCTCAGGGTGCCTGTCCGTCTCATCCCTGGGCTTCTGTGTCCTGCTCAGCCTTCTCCAAAGAAGGAGCCTGGCCAGGGATGTGTTCCAGCAACATGTTACTAAACCATACTCTCGTCCTCACCTTTCCCAGACCTCCCACTCCTGCCTGGTGTTCCAACCCGTTCTGTGGCCAGAATACACGTTTTGGAACCTCTGTGAGGCCATCCTGCAGTTCCAGATGAACCATAGCATGCTTCAGGTAAGAGTTTAGGGCTGGCCTGATTGGGTGGGATGGAAGAAGAGGTTAGCATTGATTGACCACCTAATATATATACCAGGCACTTGCTAATAAGCTTGTTAATGATGATGATAGTAGCTACCACTTACTGAGTATTTACTATGTGTCAGGCCCTGTGAACATTTTATATACACTATCATTTAATGCTCCCAAGAACCTAATGAGGTAGGTATTATTAGGCCCATTTGTGCAAATGGATAAATAGAAATTGTTTGGTTAAGGACACATAACCAGAAAGAGGCAGAACTGAGGTTCAAGTTACAAGACCTTAATCTCTTTACTATAGAAACCCAGGAAAGGCTTCTCAGAGAGATTGGCCATTATTCTCTGAAGGTATTAACCTAATAAAACCAATAAAAGATTGTAGAAGTGGAAGTATACAAAATCTGAGCCTCTTCCAGAAGGGATTCAGAACAAAATAGCACTATCTTTCTATTGTATAAAACTATGTTCTGCCAAGACTTGAAGTTCTACTTTGAATTTTGATCACCAGATCTTGAAACAGGTTGCATTAGGAGGCAGAGTCATCTGCATCTGATTAGGACTCAAGAATAACACCAGTGTGTGTGGTGGTGGCAGCTTAGGGTCTACTAAGGCACTTAGGTGTTTTAATATAAGTTTTCTTATTTAACCCTTCCAACAGTCCAGCAGGTTTGGTGTCTCATTTTTAAGACGTGGAAACAGAGGGGCAGAGTAACTGTCCCAAGTCCACAGAATTTTAAACCCAAAGCTGGTGCTGCTTCTTGAGTCTGGAGAGAGATTGGCCAGGAGGAAATAAAGATGTAATCAAGGCTTCTCAGTCCCCTTGGCATCAGGGATCTGTTGGAGAATCTCATGAAAGCCATAGACCATCTCCATAGCAAAATTGCACAGATCATTCCAACACGTGGCACTCTACGTAGAACTGCACTCATCACAGAAGCACATAGACTGCTTCCAGGGGCTTCATCTAACCCCTGAAATCTGTCTGGGAATCTCAAGTCCAGAACTCCTGGAATAAGCCAATCAAATCATGAAGGTTCGGTCACGTGCTTGATCATTTAGTCTCAGAATCTGAGGAAATTGAAAAAGGAAGTTGACTTCAAGTAAACAGAAAAACAGCAGAGTCTCAATTATCCACCATCAGTGAGGAATGAATGTCAGATTTTTCCACATGACCAAAGGCTCCCCTTTAAGAACTAAAACTTCTTTATCCTTTTTCAATAGAAAACTTTCTGAAATATGTCTTGTACAGAATTTATTGATATCTACTATATGCCAGGCACTTTCTATTAATGGATGATGAGAATAATCACATTCTAATGACAATAGTAGCTGCCTTTAAGCACTTCACTGTACAGTGATGCCCTTGAAAGGTGAGACCGTTGGCTCTAAGCTAGATGGTCCCAAAATACTTGGCTTTAGGATTTCTTGTATGTTTGTCTGTGTCCTCCTTCTCATTTCTTACTAAATTTCCTGGCTGATTTTGACAGCATCCCTCCTTCTCCTCTCTTGCTGTTTATTGTTTTAAATCAGCTACAGGCAAGGAAACCAATCAGTCAAACTTGTTAGAATTATCTCTGTAAAGTGAGAGTAAACTGGCTCTGCATGAAGCCCAGAGGATCTTGGTGTGTGAGCTTTTGTGCATGGATATTCTTATCTCTAATATGGCTGCTCAGAAGCCTTCTGTAATAATTTCACGTTTCTCAGATACTTTTCCACATGGCCTTCATTCATTCCATAAATATTTACTGAGTACCTAGTATGAGTCAGGCACTATATTAGGCACAGGAGATTCTGCAGTTAGCTGGCCAGATGAGATCCCTACCTTCATGGAGTTTATGTTCTTACTTGAGGAGATACATAATAAACAAGTAAGCAAATAAATAATTTCAGATTGTTATAAGGCGATGAAGAAAATAGAGTGATGTGCTAGAAAGTAATGAAGAGAACGAGAGGTACCAAATGGAGCAGTCAAGGAAGGCCTCTCTGAGGAGGTGATTTTTAAGCCATGATATAAAAAATGAGAAGTAGCCAGACATGCAAAAATCTGGGGGAAAAGAATTCTCCGAAAAAGGAGCAGCAAGTGCAAGGTTACTGAGTTTATCAAGTTTGGGTCTTGGAAGAACAAAAGAAGAGGCCATCGTTCCTGAGGGAGAAGAGTATGAGATGAGGTTGGGTAGGAGTCAAGCCTCTGATCATCTAGTGTCTTGTAGGCCATGGTGACACATCTGAAGAATTTTGATCAGCAGAATGACAGAATCTGATTTACATTTTGCAAAAATCACTCAGGATTTTCAGGGGGCAGGAGTCCGAGACCAAACTCCTACAGTAGTCCAGGTGAGAGGATGCGCCTCAAGGTGGGGCGGTGGCTGGAGGGGAGGGGAGGGCTGAGTGGACTAAGATGGAGGAAAAACAAATGTTAAAACAGAAACAAATGAAACTAACTTTGTCATTAATGTAACCCCCAGAGAAAGGAATTAATTCAAGTTAACCTGAGCACAGTTCTCTGATTATATCTCTTTAGCGGGATATATTCTAAAGATAATACAAACTGAAAAGAGAACTTGAACATTACTTAAGAGGTTTCTTGTTAGTGGCAATGTTGATGGAGTAATTCTGAAACTCCTTTGTGTATCCCAGAGGATAAAACAAATGAGTACAGATATTAATGTTATTAGGAATCAAGACATTAGGTTTTGGCCTTGGCAATTTTGTGGGTGGTTCTGCTCTTCCCTGGGATGAGTTGGGACATGTTTGAGGAAAACTATTAAGAGTTCCATTTTTGTACCTATGAATCATAATTGCAAACATTTATTGAGCTCTTACCACGTGTCAGGCATCCTTTACATAGATGCTATGTAGGGCTATATGGTAGATACTATTATTATTGCTCGCATTTTTAGAGTGAGGAAACCAAAATTATAACAGAGATATTGATAGTCTTGAACACTTTTTCAGCAGGCCCCCTGGGAGTTCTGGCCCAGCTTTTTCTACCCAGGAGCCCTCAAAGCTGTTTCTAGAAATCTTAGCACCTCAGCAGAAGCACCAAGGGTAGAATTCAGACTAACAACATCCTCACCAGTCTGGCATCGGACCAGACAGCTGATCTTTCCACTGTCTCTCTTTTACGAACCCTGTATTGTAACCAAACTGGACCCTTCTTAGTTCCTTGTTCCCATTCCTTTTAGTTTCCTATCTCTGTGTCTGTGCTCTTGGCCTCTCTTCCAAATTCCCATTGTTAAAATCTGAGCTGCTCTGTCTCTAAGCCCAGCCCAGTATGCTCCTGTTCCTGCAGGAAGCCAGAGCAGAAGACAGGGAGCTGGGTTCTGGGCCTAGAGCTGAATGGGATGAGGGCAGCTGGTGGATGCCAAGGGAAGCAGGACTCAGCTACACGTTGTTCGGGTCTAGACTTTGGTATCTGAAGGGACCATGACAGTCTCCTGGTCGTCACCCATCAGTCTTAGAGAGTAGGGGCTGGCAAAGGGAGGGAATCTTGACTCTGATGCGGGAGGATGGATGGAAGATCAGGGCAGGGCAGGGGCAGGCAGCAGTACGAGCCGGTGGTCCTCAGTTACAAGCTGCATGGACGATTGGTCCGGGAGGGGTCACTGATAGAGAGGAGTGGTAAGTGTTCGGTCCACCTAATCTGTGAAGATGATATTACAGAGGGAGAAGCTACATGTGCCCACTAAACTTCCTTTGATGTATTGTTGAAGATTAAACACCAGGCCAGATCAATCAACCATTTTATTTCTAGTGCTCCTCAGGTAGTCACTGTCTTCTCCTCAGGAGAATTTAAAAGCTTGAGCTGTTGTCTCAGACATTCCTGCCTTTGAATCATCACACTGCCTACTGGCTGTGTGACTGGGCACTTAGTTAACCCTTCAGACTATCATTTTCCTCATCTGTAAAGTGAGAGGAGTAATGATAATAATAATACCCGTCTCACAGGTTTGTGATAAGGGTTCAGGAAGCTAATACACAGAAAGCGCTGAGTGCAGTGCTGGAACAGAGTTAATTTTCAGAGAATGGTGGCCAGGATCGTTTATCACTTGTCTCTCTGGGCTCTTCACCAGACTTCTCCTGTCTTCAGAAAAGCCATAGACATGTAGCACCCTGCTCATCCTGTCCCCAGTACAGGTCCCCAGGCAGGGAGATTCTGGGGGCACTTTGGAACATCATGTTTCCCGCCAGAGGTGTTCTCTCTGTCTCAGGCATCCTCAGAAATGCATCGCCCATGCTGCTGACCTGAGCATGTTGACTGTAGCAAATGGGGCCTTAGGGGAGGACTCTTCGCTGGCTAATGAATGTTTTGAAGCCCAAGACCTGCAGCCTCCTTCCAGGCCTCGGCAAGGTAGTAGAGGACTTGAGGGGCTATTACTTGGTCCCCAGTTCTGCCGGGGACAGAACAAGAGCAGAGAGGCTTAATGCCCAGGAGAGGTTTAGATTAATAGGTGAGAGCCCGATTTGTCAAAGCAAGCTCCGTGGAGCTTTTGCACTGAGATCACATAAGTTCTGTTCAAGAAGTATCTAATGAAATTATTACACCCTCACCCCTGATTGGTCATTATACAGGGAGAGTAGACAGAATGGTCAGGGAGAGAGGAAGTGACTAGGATGTCGGTTAGCCTAGATTTTTCTGAAGCTGAGTACCTGAGAAGACTTAGAACACTTCTGAGAAGGGGAGGTAGATCCAGACCGTGTGGAGGCCGCACAGACAGGCATCCAGATGCAGGCCACCGGTTCCCCACTCCACCCCTAGAAAGTACAGCTTATCCAGAGGCACAAGACACATTCCCCATAGACCTCTCAAGAAGCCACCTTAGTAGAGAAACCAAGGAAACTTCAACCTACTCTGTGACCTGGGCCACGTCCCTTCCCTTCTCGGCCTCAGTGTCCTTGCTTGTCTAAAGTGAGGAGGCTGGAGCAGATGGTCTTAAGGAGCTCCCCTGACTCCATCATCCTAAAAGTGATCTGCTGATTCCTGGCAAACAGAGGCCAGGCTCTGCCTTGGCCTCTGCCTCCCTGCCTCCACTCAGTCTGGGGCTGCCATTTGGAAGAAGCTTGAGCTTCACGGAGCAACTTTAGCTCCGTATTTCCTCCCTGTGTGGCTTAGTGCCCCCATCTTTTCTGTCCTTCCAGAACTTAGCCTCCTTAGCCCTAGCCACAGCAGGTGTGATAGAAAAATAGCTAACCATTAATAACCAGGCACCAGCCTAGGCATTCATTATCTCATTTTTCCTTAAACCACCCAGGGAGGTGGGTACTATCATCTCCATTTTGCAGAATAAGAAACAGGCATAGGGCCGGCCCAGTGGCATAGCGGTTAAGTTCATGCGCTCCGCTTCAGCAGCCTGGGATTCACCGCTTCTGACCCCAGGCACGGACCTATGCACTGCTTATCGAGCCAAGTTGTGGCTGGTGTCCCTCATATAAAGTAGAGGAAGATGGACATGGATGTTAGCTCAGGGCCAGTCTTCCTCAGCAAAAAGAGAAGGATTGGCAGTGGGTGTTAGCTAAGGGCTAATCTTTGAAAAAAAACAAAAAAAAACTGTTAAAAAAGAAAAGAAAAGAAATAGGCCTAGAGAGGTGAGTGAGTCCTTTGGACAGGAACTTTTCAAACCCCAGTGCTCCAGGACTCAGTCTAGCCTCATCAAGCTCTTCAATCAATTTCATGTGTCTTTGCCCATGATTTCCACTGCCTGCTATTCTCCTCCCCCCACATACCCCAGCTTTATCCAAATCCTCCCCCATTGGTTAAAGCCTGGCTCAAATATTGCCTGTCCATGAGGTTTCACTGCTCCTTGACCTTCATCAACCACAATTTCTCTCTCCTCTGAGCTGCATGGCCCTTTTTCTTGCCTCCCTGATGACCCTTACTACATTGTACCTTGTATTATGGGACTTTGTATATGGATCTTGTGTCCTAATCAGCCTTTAAGCATGTGGATTGCTGAGACTATATCGTGTGCATCTCCATACCCCCAGTAAGGTCCTCTCCTCCTGGGTTTCTCCTGACCAAGGCCAGGAAGAAGCCTTTGCAACAAGATAGAGAGCCTTAGCAGCAACTTCTCAAGCCTGTTTTAGTCTTCATAGCTCCATTTGTGAGCTCATTATCATAGCAGAAGAGTACCCATGAATGCCTGGGATCATTCAGGAGCCTAGAGGGGCAATATTCCAGAATTTTCATTTGTCATCTTTATTCATGCAGTAAACCTTTATTGCTGAGAGACCTTAGCGAATCACTTCCCTACTCTGAACCTCCATCTCTTATCTCCAACAGATAGAAGGTACCTCCCTAGCTCCATTGTGAGGGTCAAGTGCTTGTGCACATGTAAGATATTCCTTAAAAGATGAAGACAGAGCAATCCAGGTATTTACAGGCTGAATAAGACACAGACATGTACATAAATACCATAATACAGGACAGAATGTGATAAGAGTCATTAGGGTATAGGCTGCCAAGTCAGCAGCAAAGCATAGATTCTCACATGGAATAGGTTTGGCAGGAGAGCTCTGGTGCAAAGGCTCTGTGGTTAGAGTGGCAGGAGCAGAGTGCCTCAGCGGGGCACAGCAAGGCCTTGGTTCTGCTCCAAAGGGATTTCCCCCTCTCATGTGCCAGGAGCATCCTCGCTGCTCTCCTGGGATCACATGGTCAGTCGATTGAGTATTTCACATCTGTGGGGCGCCCCAGGTTCCAAGGAGGAAAAGCCACACAGTCTCTGCCCTCTAACACTTCATGGTTTGTCTGGAGACACACAAAGGGTATGAGAAGTGCAGCCAGGGAGTATGGTCAACTACCTAGTGTCAGAGCTGGTTCCAGAAGCTCTGAGGGCTCTATCAAGTATTCAACAGCTTATTTTCTAACAGAAAAAGTAGACTATGGACACTAAGACCTATTCTACTAGGCAGAATGCAGTAAGTGGCTTAAGAGAGCTAAACCTGCTTCTCAGAATGTTCATAGGAGGGTCATTTGCTAGAGGAGTCAGGCTGGTCTCCATACAGGAGGCAAGTCTGGAGCCAAATTCTGGAAAATTGCTTAGGGAGTTGGGAGGATGGCAACCTTAGAGTGATTTGGGAAACTAAAGGACCCGATGGGCATGTCCCAGGCGGGAATAGGACCTTCTTTACAGCAGAGAATAGATAGTAATGACTTATAAAATTGCTGTTTCTTTTTGAGAGCCTGCTAGAGAGGGTTTTGCATATATTATCTCTAATCCTTAAAACCACTCTTCAAGGTAGGCACAACCCCCACTTTACAGATGAAGAAATGAGGTTAGGAGAGGATTTGCCCAAAGCCATAAATCTAGTTGGTGGGGGAACCAGAAGTCAGACTCACATTTGCCTGGTTCCCTTCCAAGTGGAAACCTGAGAAGAATTTCAAGAAATACAGGTGCTCCCTCCAAAACAAACCAAGATGGACCTAGAACTGCCACTGCCCTGCCCGTATGTACAACCTGGGCATCACCCATCTCACCTGCTCCCAAACCTTCCCAAATCTGGTACAAGCTCCCCACTGTTCCACTTAACTTGGCCCACCCTGTGCCCTACCTCCTCCAATCCAGTTCCACCCACACCTAAAAATGATTTCCCCACCCCAATCCCCATTTTTCTCTAGCAGAAGGCCCGAGACATGTATGCAGAGGAGCGGAAGAGGCAGCAGCTGGAGAGGGACCAGGCTGCAGTGACAGAGCAGCTGCTGCAAGAGGGGCTCCAGGCCAGTGGGGACGCCCAGCTCCGATGGACACGCTTGCACAAACTCTCAGCCAGACGGGAAGAGCGGGTCCAAGGCTTCCTGCAGGCCCTGGAACTCAAGCGGGCTGACTGGCTGGCACGTCTGGGCACTGCATCAGCCTGAGGGAGGCTGGCCTCCTGTCACTTTGCCCTGCCCTTTGCCACCCCCCGTCCCCCCCCACCAGGGCCCTACTCCTCTTTCTTTTCTTGGTGAAAGGCACCTCCCTCCTGATGAATTGTGTTCCCTTTGCTTGGCAGGGGAGCCCCAGAGGCCAGGTCTGCTGGCCATAGATACCTTTGGGCTGCCTGAGACAGTGGCCCCTAGGGAGGGTTGAGGGCGAGAGTCTCCCACAAGTACACTAAACCCAGCTCTGCTGGTCAGTAGGTTTGGACAGCAGGGGGCCCCAACTCTTCTGCTGCCTGCTCCTTCCACGCGTGTGCTCCTAGACACACTTTCTTTTTCCACCAGCACATCCTTCGATACACAGAATTGAGGGGAAGAGCTCTCCCCAAACCCTCGCCCTTTACCCATCTTCTTAGCCTTCCACCTGACTTTCACAAAAGATTTGGTTCCACCTCGGATCTGCTGGTAAATAGCTAATAGGCAGCCAGCATAATTTGGGCAAGGAAGGGGAGGGAGAGAGAGAAAAAATGTGCCCATCTGCTGCTCCTCCCCCTTGGCTCTCCACCTGGGATTTGCTATTGAATCTCTACCCCCTCCCACCCTGCAGTGCTGATTGCTCACTGAAAGGCTCAGCGCCCCCAATGGCGCCGAAGCCAGGCGGGTGATTACAATCCAATTACCTATTGTCGACTCAGCCCACACAAGCTTTTCTCCTCCTTTTGCAGGGCATGGGGCCAGGTTCCGCTCCCCAGTGAGACTGGCCCCCTCGAGGGGTACAGGGTAACAGAAGAGCCTCTAGGCCCTGGTGAATCTAATCCAGCACAGGCCTCCTTCCCTGGAACACATCAGGACCAAGAGCACAGAAACAAGTGCTTCTCCCGGCTGACTGGGCCTCCTGACCTCACCATCTCAGACTGCTTCCCACCTCCTCAATCTGTGAGGCTTCTTCTCTCAGCTTTTTGACCTGGCCCCCTAACTAGGCCCTGAAACAATTTGTTCTCAGCATGGCAGAATCTCAGCTTGGGAGGGCCAAGGCTGCCCAGCAGGAAGAAGGCCAAATCAAGGGCCATGTCCTTTCCCTTACCTCTCCCTGCCAGACCTCGCTGCAGAGCTGCTGAGAGGATTAGTGCCTTTGAAGAGTTGTCTGCCTGAGCAATTCTGTGCTTCAGGTGCAGCAAGCACCGGCCGGTAATACCAACCAAACGCTATTCTGTTTAGTCTTCCCGTTTTACTTTCTGCAAACTGTTTCCCAGCACCTCCCTCTAGGGGAGAGGGAGGGTCCTGCAAGCAGTGGTAAGAGCATACTCTTTAAATCCCTAACTTTCCTATACTCCAGTCTCCTCTTCCCCTTCCTGTGCCTGAATACCTGGCACAAGAGACCCCTTGGCCATCCTCCCTGCTCCCAGAATCAATTGTAAATGCCAGACACTGCGATTGAGAAGCCAACCCATGCACCTTTGGCAAGCCCCCCCCACACACCTGGCACTCCCCACTACCAATGGCTGGCAAAGGGTTCCCAGAGAGCAGGTGCTGTACATTTTCCAGCTTTACAATGGGGCTGTTGACAGCCTTAATTAGGGAGGCATGAATTATGCGGCTATAATACAGAGCCCTACAATTAAGGCGGGAATGAGGGGCTGGAGGCAGCAAACGGAATCTGCCCTGTGAGCGTGGCTGTTGAGTCCTGTCTCCGTTCTCTGTCTGACTTTGCCTAATATGACTTGGGTACAGCAGAGGTGATTAATGGGGCTGGTATCTCCCTTTGGCCTGAGGTCCCGTGTTCTGGGAGAGGTGCACAGAGTGGGGTGGGGTGAGGTGGGGTGGGGTGGGAGGGGAGGGGCTGCCCCAGGAGGCACTGTAGGGGTGGAAAGAGACTGAGAGGCCACCTAGAAGCAGGGGCTGCAGATAGTTGAACTCATTGTGGTTGCTTTCTACCAGTATGATTTGTGCAAACCAGCTTCAACCCTTGCCTCAAGAAATAGGTGGGGACCTATTTAAATGTCTTCCTACTTTTGAGCTGAGCCCCCACTTGAGGATATTTACCGTGTTTTTGTGTTCTCCTGGGTGTCAAATAGAATTTTAAGAATTCTTTCTTGAATGTAAAACTTGTTTGCTACCAGTGCAATGTAAAGAACATCTTGTTTTGCTGCTGCAACTGTCTACCCTTCTTCAGGTGTGCTTGGCTACCTCCAGGATCCGTAGCTTTGGGGGCGTGTGGCATGGGGGCACCACTGGAAGAGCCCTTTTGCCGTCGCAACACCTGTTTCTCTGCTTGTTTCCTAATCCCCGGACGCCTTCCTCCACCTCCTTTTCCTCGCGCAAGTGAAAGGAAGCCAGCCTGCCAGTGTGGAAGGAGGGATTTCGCCAGCTGCGTTTGCAGCGCCCAGGCTTGGTGGCCGCATCGGGTGGGGGCAGCTGAGCTTGAAGTCTCTGAAGCGGGTGGAGCGTAGGGGGAGGGGAGTGCTGGTAGGCCTCCTTGACGGCCGCTCTCCATTATTCTGCGGCGGGGTCCTGAAGTCCCAGAATACAGAGACCTAAGGGAGCCACCCAACAGGCTTTTGGGGGGGGCCTCGTTGGATTTGGGGAGGCGGCTGAGCAACGGGTGCTGAAAGGACAGCTCCTACCTGCCCCGCTGCACCCGAAAGGCACCTCTGCGTGTAAAGTCTCCCCTTCGAGCCCCCACCCCATCTCGAGTGGACCGCCTTCCAGGTGAGGTGCACCAAAGGCTTCCTCAGAGTGGCAGCTTGGAAGGATGCACGTCCGGCTGCGCCAAGCTGGCTTCCCCGCTCTTTCCCCACTTCAGCGTCAGCCTTGGCCCTGGGAACTGCAGCCTGTGCCTCCAAGCCGCGCGCTTCCTCCCGCCTCCGGCGGAGAAGGGCGGTGCGGCCAGGCCTTGCAAACCCTTCTTCTGGGGCCCCCCGCAGGAACAGGAAGGAAAGCGGCCGAGATGCGCCCTAAGTGTCGCACGGCTTGGAGAAGTGGGTAGCTCGGTTGCATAAGGTGGAAGGAACTTGGTAGTTTGTAAAAGCCAGCTCTTGGCGGGAGCCGAAACCCAGAGCCTGCCGACTCGCACCACCCCCCTCATTTATTGCCTTAGTCGCGCGCCTCCCCCACTGCGCCCCCACCCCCTAGGCGCGCCGCCGTCTCGCGCGCCCTCCCCCCATACCCCCCTCCTCACTCCCTCCAGAGGAGGTGAGTTTAAACCCCGCCCACGTGACCCCAGCTGGGCCAATGAGCGGCGGCGGGAGGTGAAATCCGGTTCTAACCGGTCCGGGGCTCCCAGCGCTATAAAAACTTTATAAACCCCCCGGAGCCCGAGCAGTGTGAAGAAGAAGAGGCGAGAGCGACCCCCGGGCCGACTAAAGCCCGCGCGCCGCTGCATCCCCCGCGTCCAGCGCCAACGTCCCGCCGCCGTCGTCACCATGCCCAAGAGAAAGGTACGTGGCGCAAGGGCCCCGGGCGCTGGGCCGCCACTGCCGCCGCCGCCACCACCGCTGCTGCTGCCGCCGCCGCCGCCGCTCCCCCGGCTTTGGAGCGCGAGGATCGGCGTCGGACTGGAGCAGGCGCAGCCGCTCGGCGCGGGTGCTCGAGGCGGTGTCAGGCGGCCCCGGGCTAACCCTGCGCGGTTCGGCTGCCCGCGGGCGCCAGAGGCCATATTGGAGGAGCGGCGGCCGCGGCGGGAGGAGCCATGTTGGCGGCTGTTTATCGCGCTCCCCTCGGGCTCGACGTGCCCGCCCCGCGCCCCCTCCCCCATCGCCATGCCCCCTCCCCTCCCCGCGGGCGGGCAATTCAAACCCGAAAGGGCGGGAAGGCGGCGCTCGGGGTTGGCGGGCGGGGGAACGCGCTGCCGCCAAAAAAACCGCCACCGTGAGGGGGCGGGGCCGTGTCCCTCGGGGCGGGGCTTCGCCGTGTGGCTCCGCCTCCGCCCACGGCCCCCGCGCACGAGACTCGAGCGCCGGTGCGCGCCGCTGTCGCCCACGAGTTCCCCCGGCTGCGCGCGCCTCCGGTCCCCCGCCCTCGACGGCTGCCATGGCAACGGCGCTCGGGCCCCGCCTCCGGAGGGGTTTGTTTGCACCATCTGCAGCTGTTGCTTCTGCCTGGCGCGGGCTGCGCTGCTCGCTCCAGCTTAGCGCGCGCTTCCCGGGCCGCTCGGCGGAAGACACCCGGCCTCCCTGCGCGCTGTGGGCCACACCGGCGGTGGCGCTCACACAAGCGAGCTCTCCCGCAGCTTTCTAAGCACTTGGGGTATTTGCATAGGAGCTGGGGGGTGCTAAGAACTGACGATTTGTATGTCCTAGAAAAGTTGTGTGCCAGACTTCCCCTTCAGTTTTTTCCCTTATAACTTCTTAATTTGGGGGGGTTAAGCTTAGGGAATCATTAAGAATTGCCTCAGAAGCTGCAACTTTCTTAGTTTTTGTTTGTTTTTAATAGGCTGAAGGGGATGCTAAAGGAGATAAAGCCAAGGTGAAGGACGAAGTAAGTCTTATTTATTCTTTCTTCTTTGGAGTCTTACAAAGGCTTTGGCTCCTTTGGTGGTAATTAACCGTAGCTCTCGTCCTGAATTTGCCTAAGTAAGCCCTCTTTACTTCCTATGTCTAGAACAAATTGGCACCAACATTTCTGGGTTTTTTTCCTCAAGTGGTTCAGCTGTCCTATTTCTAACTTTTTCCCCTTTTTTCTTTAATAGCCACAGAGAAGATCTGCAAGGTTATCTGCTGTAAGTGTCTGCTTTTAAATTTTAATATTTGTCCTTGAGACTAAAAAGCATTGAAAAATAATCCTCTTTGCTTCCCATGAGTTATGATCAGTGGCTGGTTTTGAATGATCTACTCCATTGTGGACTCTCACCCATTTGAGATTTACTGGTTCTGATGTTCTGGTGGCTGTAGCCACAGTGGGACACTTCAGGATGTTACTTGAGTGGGTTTCTGAAGATAGGAAATTCTAATGGAAAGCTAGCCACAAAACCTTTAGAGAATAGGAACTTCCATGTCAGTGGTACTGGGGTTGGGTTTGGGTTTTCTTTGGTCCATCATACTAATGTTCTCTTTCTCTCTTTCACCGGAATAAAAGAAACCTGCTCCTCCAAAGCCAGAGCCCAAGCCTAAAAAGGCCCCTGCAAAGGTGAGCAGGACTAGGAGACAGACTTGCTTCTAGGAGTTACATAAGGCTGAGCAGTTTCCCCTGTTGCTGACAGGAGACCTGCTACATGATGACTTCATCTGTTGGTACAAAGTCGAGATATGACAAAGTTACTAGGACTAGGCCTTAAAATAACATTGGAATTGGTCATTTTTACAGTATGAACACTGTCGTTTATCTTAATTTAGCACAATGGTGACTCCATTAATGGGTATTCTACATTGTTTCGATAGCTTGCGTTATTCCTGAGATTTGTCATATGGTTTCTTAATGAAAAACTATCAACAATTCACAGAAAACTGCACTTGGATATTAAACCCCCTAAGTGTTTAAGCTGTTTTACTCTTAGTACTTACAGTCACATAACAATTTTTACATACTGAAGACCACAGCAAAGTATAGATAATTTGGTCTGGTTTTGATTCATTTTTTTAAATAAACGGAGAGGATTTAAAGTTTGTGTATGTGTGTTTTATCCTCCATAAACAATCCTCTCTTGTGCAGAACTTTGCAGACCATACCCTGGTAATATGAAATGAGGAGAAACAGCTTTCTTTTTTCTCCCCCCTTTCAGAAGGGAGAGAAGGTACCCAAAGGGAAAAAGGGGAAGGCTGACGCTGGCAAGGATGGGAATAACCCTGCCGAAAATGGAGATGCCAAAACAGACCAGGTACAGCTGCTGGTGCGCTTTTCAGTCTGCTCATTTAATCAGTCACTCATCGCAAAGGCTTTCACTGCCTTTTTCCTGCGTCTGCATCATGCCAAGTGTGCGTTTCAGTCCGGAGTTTGCTTGTGGCTTTTCTGTTAACTTTAATCCTGGATTCCTGAAGTCTGCCATCTGATAGAAAGGGCACCGTGGGCGAGATCCTTGTCCTGTCATTAGGTGTCACACTTGTGCTACACCATAGAGTTTTCGAGCTGGGAGTGACCTCAGATCTTCTATGCTGGTGTGTTCCCTTCCCCAGTTTTACAGTACGGTCCAGAGGGGAAGTGACTTAATGCAGTAACCTACAAACTCAGTCTCCAAACAAGTGCGGAGTCTTAGTGTCAAAGTACCTAAAACCTGAACTTGGCCTGGGAACAAAGTAATGCTGTAGATGGAAAATGAATGAAGGTAGTTTCAAAATTCATACGTTGTATTAATCTGTCTATTTTTCTTTTAGGCACAGAAAGCTGAAGGTGCTGGAGATGCCAAGTGAAGTGTGTGCATTTTTGATAACTGTGTACTTCTGGTGACTGTACAGTTTGAAATACTATTTTTTATCAAGTTTTATAAAAATGCAGAATTTTGTTTTACTTTTTTTTTTAAGCTATGTTGTTAGCACACAGAACACTTCATTGTTGTTTTTCGGGGAAGGGCATATGTCACTAATAGAATGTCTCCGAAACTGGATTGACATGGGGAAAAAAACATCTTTCCCTTCTAGTTTTGAGAGACCTTCCTCTTGGTTCCCAGGAGGAGAGATCTCTTGACGTTGACACACATGCGCCACCTTGGCACAAACGCCTGGTGGTGTGGAAAAACTAAAATTCGTTTTTATGTCTTCTTCACCCTCTCCGCCTTCAGCATAGACCTGACTCCCTTAAACCCAGAGACCTCTTGAGACCTGACCCCCAAAAATTGGTTACTAGTATGTCAGGCAATCTGGACTTGCCAGTGTCACCATTGAGATGGCACCCCTCAAAAGAGCAGCAGTTCCCTTATTTAGATTGTGGATCTTCAGATTGATAGTTCTGCCATTTTCATTTCATTTCCTGAAAGTCAGGGTCGGCTTGTGAAAAGTTGTTAAACAACATGCTAAATGTGAAACGTCAACCCTCACTCTAAACTTGCCCTGTTGAGAGCATCACATGAAGACTTCGTTGGGTTTTATAGTGGCTTTCTGATTTTGGTAGTCCATTGAAGAAGGGAGTTTGAAAGTTGTTGTATACTGTTACCGATTGTCTGCCCATGTCCTGCCTGAAATACCATGATTGTTTATGAAAAGTATCTTTAATAAAGCTGGATACAGTTTGGCTTGGAATGCTGCCTCTAATCTTTTCCCAGGAGTTGGGGAGCCTAGTTTCTCCAAGTCTCTTGGGACAGGATGCATTCTGGTGTGAGCTGTAGAAGTTCCATGTACAGTCAATCTTTGGTTTACAGTCAGTCTGTAGAACACAGTGCTAGGTGGAGTTAGGCAAGATCCCAGGAGTAAGTAGAGCAGTGGTGAGAGGCTGGGAGCAGAGACGTAGTTTCTGTGCTTGTTATGTAGCATTACCTGAAGTATACATTTAAATGCAGATTTTTGGTAGATCTGAGATTTTGGCCTGGTAGCTGACAGCAAAAAGAGCCTCTTTACTTCATTCATATGTAAAACCTCTAAAATTGGCGTATTAATAGATCCAACAGTAGTAGTCTTGTGTCAGGAGAAAGTGCTTCTGTCTATAACAGCCGGCGATAAGATCTATTAGACAGATGGCACTCTGCTCTTAAGCAGACCTGCACATCTGTGAATTGATTAAATTCTTGTTCTTGCTGGTGAACTGCTCTGGGTCCAAAAACAAAGCCGTTAATGGGGACTCGTCTGGTTGCTTTAGTTTGGAGACCCTGGTGAAATAGCAAAAGTTATGTTAGGAAATAGAACTTGTAATAAATTGATGCTCACAATTTGAATTTGCTTTTGCAGGTCACCTTTGTTTGAGGGGAATAAAGTAAATTGGAGACTACAAAAAAGATACCTTTCATTGGTTTGTTTATCCCCTTAGTCCAAATGGTGGAGCTATCATATCAGTTAAGCTCTTCCTTGATAGATATTTTTGTGTATTATCTTTGGTCTTCAGTTTGGGTACAATTGTGTAATCCAAGTGTTAACACCTGTTTTCTGGCTGAGGAAATGGGCTCAGATGAAGAAACTTGTTCAGGGTTATGTGTACATCTAAAGCACAGTTATGTGTACATCCAGTGACTCGAAAGTCAGGATTCAAACTCCTCATCAGAAATACCTTCTGACTTGGACTCCTATTTGAGGGCACCTTTTGGATAAGGTAAAAATTGTCTACCTAGGTAGTTTCCAGCCATTTGCTGTCATAATTGCTGAAATAGTTCTAGGTTGTAGAGTTTTAATTTTTACTCAGGTGTCATCTTCCAGCAGTGGAAACCATTACAGCCCTGAGGGCTAGGGGTACGGCAGCTTGGTATTTGTGGAGAAGTTGCATAATTTGAGAAAGCCACAGTTGGGGTTGCTTTATCGGTATTTGTCTGAGTTCACATTCAGTAAAATGTGTCGAGCCACAAGACTGCTAGGAGCTTGGCCACGTGCTGGTGCTTAATCTTTGGGTCAATCCCTTGTAGGTGTTACTCCCGTTTTATAGTTAGGAAACAGACTTGGATATGAAGTGACTGGCTGAGGTTGAACTCAGTAGTAACTCTTCCTGTTACCTGGAAATTAGGATGAGTAAGGTGAACTTGAACTTTTTTTTTCTTCCTGGAAAATGTTTACTGATTTGACTGGTTGTGGACCATGAAAGTGCCTGGGCTTAAAAACCAAGAAACCAGACGTCAAAACACGATAAGGACATTTGAGACAGCCGTTATAGCATGCCCAGTGTCAGCCCTAACCTAAACACAGTAAGATAATAGAAAAGTGGGTTCCCTTCCCCTTGGCCCTGTCTCCAAGCTCATTCTGCTAACCAATCTCAGGAAGAGTTAACCAGTGACCCACATTAGGATGCTTTGGGCTCTAAGTAAAAAAAAAAAATCAAATGGCTTGAACGGCAGGAGAGTTTATCTCCCTAAGAGAAATCCTGAGGTCTGGTGATTCTGAGGACCCAGGTAGTGCTTTCCAACTTTGCTCTGCCGCCCTCTGTGTTATCCAGCTGCCTCACTTCCACGTCAGCTGCTGCAGGCCTCCCTCAGCTTGAGACACCCATGTCCAGAGGCAGAAGACCTATTTCGTCATTTTTTTCTCCTTAAGAATAATTAGTTCCCAGAAGCACCTCAGCAGCCTGAGTTACTTTGGGCAGAACTGGATCACCTGCCCACTCCTAAACCAATCATGGCAAGAGGGATGGAGCCACTGGGTCTGTTTAGGATTCAGCCAGAATTATTGGAATTAAGTAGGGGAGGGATAGATGATGGAAGAGGGAAAGGACTTAGTGAGTTGACAACCTTAATGCTACGCTCATCCTGTGGTTTCTCCAGGCCTCGCCTCACCTGGCTTTATTGTAGCATTTGACACCACTGAGCACAAGCCCCCCACCATTTTTTAAATTGAGATAAAATTCACCATTTGAAAGTATACAGTTCAGTGGTTTTTAGTATATTCGCAAGGTTGTGCAACAATTACCACTAATTCCAGAATATTTTTATCACTCCAAAAATACTTAGCGGTCGCTCCCTATTCCTCCTTCCTCCAGCCCTAGGCAACAACTAATCTACTTTCTGTCTCTATAGGTTGGCCTGTTCTGGACATTCCATCTAAATGGAGTCATAATGTGTAGTCTTGTGTCTGGTTTCTTGCACTTAGCATTATGTTGTCAAGGTTCATCCATGTTGTAGCATGTACTTCATTCCTTTTATTGGCAAATATTCATTGTATGGATATATCACATTTTATTCCTTCGTCAGTTGATGGACATTTTGGTTGTTTCCACTGTTTGGCTATTACTATGAGTATTGTATACAAGTTTTTATATGGATGTACGTTTTCATTTCTTTTGGGCATATAATGGAATTGCTGGTCATATGGTATGTCTATGTTAAACTTTGAGGAACTGCCAGATCGTTTTTCCACAGTGGCTACACCGTTTCGCATTACCACCAGCAATGTCTGAGGGTTCCACATTTTTCCATATCCTCGTCAACACACATATTCCCTTTTTTCTTTTTTTAATTAGAAGCATCCTAGTGGGTATGAAGTGATATTTCATTGTATTGATTTGCATTTCCCTAATGACTAGGATGTTGAGCATCTTTTCATATGCTTATTGGCCATTTGTGGTTTTTTGTGTTTTTTTTGAAAAATGTCTATTCAAATCCTTTGTTCATTTTTTAACTGGGTTATTTATCTCTATTTTTGAGGTGGAGTTCTTTATATATTTTGGATACCAGATCCTCATCAGATACGTGATTTGCAAGTATTTTTTCCCATTTGAGTTTTCTTCACATACCTGAGTGTCTTGACCAGTTTTTAATTTTGATGAAGTCCAATTTCTTTCATTTTAGCTAGCTTGTGCTTTAGTGTCATATCTAAATCCATTGCCTAGTCCAAGGTCATGAAGATTTACACCTATGTCTTCTAAGAGTTTTAAATAATTTTAGCTCTTAAATTTAGGTCTTTGAACCTAATTTTGAGTTAATTTTTGTATATGGTGTGAGGTAGGAGGCCAAGCATTCCTTCCTCCTAAAAACTGTTCTAGACCTCTTTGTGGGCCTTCCAGTTTCTAAGATGTTTGTCTGGTTCTTTGCTCTATGACCACTCCTCAAACCCCTTTCTCTACAGTTCGTCCCTGGACATCCAGTGACTCTCATTTTCATCTCTCATCCACATCTCTCGAGTTCACTATTTCCACCTTCTGTACAATTGACCCAGATGTAACACAAGCACCAAAAGTCAACATGACCAAAATGGGACTCATCTTGTTCACAAACCCACCTCTCCTGCTTTTCCTAGATCTGATAAAAGACCACCACCCGTTCCATCCCTCAAGCAATTTTAAATACAGAAAATTTCAAATATGTGCAAAAGTAGAAGAATATAACGAACCCTGTCACATAGCCTCAGCAATTAGCAACTTGTGGCCAATCTTGTTTCATTTATACCACTGTCTACTTCTCCCCCTTACCATAGCCTGACACCATAGCATTCATCTATAAATATTTCAATATATATTTTTAAAGGTGTGGACTTATTTTAGAACCATCACAATACCATTGTACCAAAAAATTAACATTAATTCCTTAATGTTATGAAGTACTTTAAGTTGCATGTGTTATTTTTAGGTAATTTATTTGTTTGAATGAGAATCCAGACAGGTCTACCTACGTATTGCAGTTGGTTGGCATATTTCCTGGGATGTCTTTGAGCCTATAGGCTCCTCACTGTTTCCCAGTCTGGATTTTGCTATTATCTCTATGGTGTTATTTAACAGGTTTCTCTATCCTTTGTATTTACTGTTAATTAGGAATAGATCTAGAGGTATGACTGGATTCACATCGAGTGGCAAGAAAACCTCATAGATAGTGTTGTATGCTTTCCTCAGGGGAGACATCCTGTCTGGTTGTCTGTGTTTATATGTTGCAGTCACTGAAATTCAATGCCTAGATCCATTAATTCATCAAGGGTTGCAAAATGGTGATATTCTAGTTCTGCCATTCCTTCTTCATATAATACCTGAAATACCACGATAGAGAGATACTTTCAGTCATCTCCTATTTAGTTACCCAGAGTTATAGTTTATACAGAAAAAGAGGATAATTGCACGAATCTCTTGCCAGTTTTCAAATTAGTGAGTTGGTTTTACTAGCATCCTCCACAAGTGACCACTGAGTTGTTTTTAGTGTTTTTAGTGTCATGATCACTGAATTAAACATTATAGTTTTCAGTTCATTGCAGTTATTAAACTTAATGCTCAAGTTGTCCTTATTTTTGCCCAGTTGGGGGCCTCTTGTTGGCTCCTGAGTCCTTTTGATATGACCCTTTTGGTGGTAATATTTGGTAACCTTGCTATCTAGTATGATAGAATTTACCACATTTAGCTTGTATGTTTCCTGCTCCAAACCTGGAGTTGGCTATTTCTAGGGGGAAAAAACAGAAATCCTGGTTCTTTCTAGTGGTGAATGGCATTGCAGAGCCAAAATCTGGGCTCTAGAATGCCCGCTGCTACTGCATTGTCATTATTATAGGCCTTTTTGGTGCACAGAGCTAGGACATGTTTTGTTTTTAAGATAAAACATCTTTTTTAAGGTAAAATACATTGATACTTTCCATTCGAATTCAAGACTTCAGAGATTTTTCTTAACTACGTCTGTATATTTTTCTCAACACTGAGAATCCCAGTGCTCATTTGTACCCTGAATTATAAAATTAGAATATCACAATTACTCAATTGTTTTATTGTATTACACAACAGTATCAGAAGAACAAAGGCGTTTACGGTTGTGTTTGCAGTTCTTTTTGTTGTTGGTGTATTTCCTACAGGGCATATACAGTCAACTTACTGTGTTTTAAACTTACATAGTCTAATTTCTCTCTGTGTAGCTTCCTACTAACTGGATACACATTTACATTAACCTGGGTTATGTATTTTCCCATTTTTAAGAATTTCTTTTAGTTTAATTTTAATTATGTAAAATATTTATATAGTTCTAAGTCTAATCTACAAAACAAGATATATTCAAAGAAGTCTTGTTTCTATTCCTATGTCCTCTGCCTTACTCCCACCCTTCCTATTTAGTGACCCTTTTTATTTGATTTAATCTTTCTCCCCCTTTCTTATATAAAGATAGCATCCTATAGGGCCAGCCCCAATGGCCTAGTGGTTAAGTTCACCGCAGTCTGCTTTGGTGGCCCAGGTTCAGTTCTTAGATGTGGACGTACACTGCTCATTAGCAGCCATGCTGTGCTGGCGGCCCACATACTAAAAACTAGGGGAATATTGGCACAGGTGTTAGCTCAGAACGAATGTTCCTCAGCAAAAATAAAAAACATAATTTCTCCACCTTGCTTATTGATGTAATAATTCTGGAGATATGTTCTAGAGATTCCTCAGTCCTTTTACAACAGCATAAAATGATAAATGTTTGGTCTCAATTCCATCATATTGTTTCATGTTATATTTACATGTATCCCAAGTCTTTTTATATAGTCTTATATAGTGTATATTTTTTCTCTTTTAGTTTTTTTTAGCTGTTTGTTTTTGGTATTTAGAAAGGTGTGTGTTTTCATTTAATGGTTAACTTTGTATTAATGCCTTTATATAATCTTATCTCCTCCAACTTCCCTGAGACTTCCAGTTCATTGACCCTACCTCTTTTTCACCTTTCCCCACCAGTCACCTCCTCTCTTCACTTCCCTTCCATCTCAGCCTAGATTCCATTGTCCAGCACTAAAACCACACTCAGCTCCCTTTCCTCTTTCCATCACACTCACTGGGCAGTTAGCTGGCACCTGCACCCACTGGCATGCTGACCTGACTCACTTTTTAGTTATGACCACATTTCAAATGGGCCCTCAACACTGCCAAACTCTCCTGTTGAATTTCCCTCAAATATTCACCTTTCCTCTCTTGGATAACGTATTTCACACCTTCACCTCATCTCCCGTCTCCAGCACCCTCTTTGATGAATTCCCCTCAAACTTCATAGTCATGGAAGATGCAGTCAGAAAGGAGGTACCTCATCTTCCCATCACCTCCTCTACTACTTATATGCAGTGTTGTGTGCACATGCCCCACAGTCCCCCTGTACTATTTTGGGGGAGCCCCTCTCTTCTCTAAGTCCAAACCTTCAACTTGTGATCCAGATCTACCCCTCTCAGCTTCTCTAAGACTAAACCTGTGCAGGTGTCCCCTTTCTCTCGTCTTAGCCATTTCTTCTCTGCTGGATCATTCTTGCCTGCACACACACTATGCCTTAAAAGCATCTGCCCTTGGCCGTCTTGAGCCACCACCCCACTTTTCTGCTCCGCTTTACAGCAAAACTCCTTGAAGATGTGTTCTCCATCACCACTTTCTCTACCCCCATTCTCTCCTCCACCCACTCCAATAAGGAGACTTTTGCTCCCACCACCTGTTACATCATGCCAGAGTCAAAATCTCTGCTTCATCTTCCTTTTTGTCTCAACCTCTTTTCTTAGGTGTCCACAGCTGGTATTGTGACTTGAAATATCATCTTTATGACAGTGACTCAAATTTTTATCTCCAGACGGAGCCTCTCCCCTCAGCTCCATCTTAGACCACTTAATAGACTTCACCAATCTAACATGGGCAAGAAATTTATTCATTTTTGTAATAAAGTAATTTCCCCAGAAGCTGTCCCCATTTAAATAAATGGTACCATCATCCACCAAAACGTTCATTTCTCCCTCTCCCTCATGGTCCATAATCAGTTCATCAGTAAATCCTGTTGGCCCAAGTTTTAAAATCTGTTGTGGACCCACTCACTTCCACCGTCTGCAGTATACACCTGCGTGGACACAAACCCTGTAAGTTCCCTGTGGGTCCTCAACTGCCTCTTCAGCCCTCTCAGGGGAACCCCACCTGCACATCATCCCTCCACTTGCAGAGCTGGATGAAACCCACTCCTACGGCAGGAGCTCAGGCTTCCTGGCAGCCTAGTAGATGGTTGATTCAGTCCAGAACTGTGGAGACATTAGCTCCCACATTATTAGAGGTAAATGTTGAAAAACAGGAAACAGGAGGTGGAAGGGCAGGGAACTGGGCTGATAACTGCCTCCTTCCTCTCTGAGGTTCCTCCTTTTTGTGCCAAGTAAATACACCTGCTGAGTGACCTACTGTGTCTCTGCAGCCCGTTGGGAAGTGGTAGCCAGTACATAATGCATCACATCTCATTGCTTTGTGTCTTTCCTTGCCCTCATCACCCTAGGCTTGCATTTCCCAAGTAAAGTGTGAGCACCTTAATCCTCTCCTCAGCCTCCTCAAGGACTAAAGTTAACACCAAGGTAAGACACAACCTCAATCCAGGCCACCATTAATTCTTTTTGGGGCCAGTGCCTCAGCATACCTTTGAACTTGTTAGCAATGCACCTCTTGAGTCCTGCCCCAAACCCAGAGTCAGACTCTTGAGAAGGGGCCCAGGACTGTGTGGTTTTAAGAGCTGTTCAGGTGATTCTTCTGCCCGCTAAAGGTTGAGAATGATTTTCTTGAGGGAAAAAGAGTTTCTAGAGAAGACTTGTTGCTGTTTCCCCCTTTACTTCCTGCTTGAGTAGTGTTGTATGAGGATGTGAAGCTGGAGCTGCAGCAACCACATTGTGACCATAAGGCCAAATGTTGCCAAAACACAGGATGGCAGAGCAGAAAGAAAGAGCCTGAGATAGCACTGAGCTGCCAAGCCAATTTTACAGTTACCAAACTCCAGATGTTTCTGCGAGAATGAAATGCCTTTATTGTTTTTGTCAGGTAATCTGTTACTGGCAGCTGAAAACAGTCCTGATTCAATAGATTGTTTTGTTTTATGCTGCTAACTTGAGAAGTGGGAATTAATTTCTCCATTTTACAGATGAAGACACTGGGTCTTGGAGAAGTTGAGGCCTTTCCAGGTTACACATGCTATAGTGGCATAGCCAGGAGTCCAACCCACACCATCTGGCTCCAGAGCCACCCCATGAACCTTGACTGTTCTGCTCAGATAGAATCATGGCTCAGATAGCATTTCCTATGTGACTGAATGAGTTGGGCTTGAAAATGTGAAACTCTCAGAGCCTGGCCTCTGCTCTGGACTGGAAGGTTGGAGCATTATTGACTGACCACAGCAGAAATATCCCCTTCATTTTCCTGCAAAAGTGCAGGGGGTAGAGAATGTTTCTCTCAGTTATTCAAAAGCTGTGTCATTCTTCAGGGCCACGGGTAGAACTCAACAGGAGGGACTGGCCTTAAATTGCCCTCTAAGAAGTCTGGGTCAGACACGTGAAACATAATCACTTTTAAAACAAGAATGAACCCCAAGGGTCACCTGCTGCTCTTGTGATGCAGACAGGAACTACCAACAACTGCATCCCTACTGAGTGCTCACTGTAAGCCTGATCCTCCAAAATGCTTCACTTGCATTATGTAATTCTCACAACAACCTACTAACAACATTGTTCCATTTTACAGATGGGAGAATTGAGGCATCAGAAGGGTTAAGTACTTGCCCAGAATCATATAGTTGGCAAGTGACTAAACTTGACTTGAACTTGGGTGGTCTGAGCCTGAAGGCTGCACTAGAGACCTTCACATTTTCTGAGTCCCCTGGGCCACGCTGAGGGCAGAGTGGAGATCAGAATGCACATCTGCGTCCACACCTGTCTGACCCCCATGATATGCCCCAGACCTTAAAGCCGGCACCTGCCTCCCCACCACCCACCGTTTTCTACCACTGAACCTCTGGAAGTGTCCAGCTTCCCTGCTGGGGCCACTGCCCCAGAACAGGGTCTCCAGCAACTCCCTCTTTCTGCTGCTACCAGAGAGAACACTGGCCCTTAGGACCCAATCTTACTGCCCACGTTTAATAGACAAAAATGCCATCCCCTCTCACCGCCTTCACCAGGGCTGGAGAGTTTAGCTGAGAAAAGACTAGTTCTTGGAATGTTTTTATTGTTACTAAGATCACTCTGTGCCAAGTGTACAACATACATTATCTCATTTAACCCTTGGAACATTTTTACAAAAAACACTGAAGCCCAGAATGGTTAAGAAACTGGCTCACCGTAATTTGACCAAACTCCTGACCTCTATGCCATGAGAAGGCAGTGTCCTCAGTGCCACAGGTGGGGCTTCCGTTTTCCCAGAACAGCCCCCAAATTGAGCCCGGATATTCCCAAGGCCTGCAGCAGGTCCTAGCCAAAGCAAGTGCCCCATTTCCCACCAGGGTACTCCAGGCACAGGGGCCAAGACTCCTCACAGCCCCTGGGCCCTAAAGCAACGTTTTTTGGCTACTCTGACCTTTGACTACTCGGGCTGGGACAAAATGGTGAGGGCCTGTTGGGGCCTGCACTTCAGATGGCCAGCCCAGAGGCCAGACATTTCCCTAGAGTTTGAGCAGTGAGGAGACAGCAGTCACTGCTGGGCAGTGAGTTAATAATTTTTGTTTTTCTGGTGGGGAAGATTAGGCCTGAGCTAACATGTGTTGCCAATCTTCCTCTTTTTGGTGAGGAAGATTGTCCCTGAGCTAACTTCCGTGCCCAACTTCCTCTATTTTGTATGTGGGATGCCTCCACAGCGTGGCTTGATGAGCACTGTGAACTGTGTGTAGCTCTGCGCCTGGGATCCGAACCTGTGAACCCTGGGCCACCAAAGCAGAGCACACAAACTTAACCACTATGCCACGAGGCCAGCCCCAGACTTTTGTTTCTTATTCCTAGATACCTGCTGGTACATTCTAAATTTCCCACACTAGCCATGTGTGGGCTTGGGAAGGAGGTAAAGGGGGAGTGTTTTCTTTTCCTTCTAAACATAAAAGTATTACCCACTCACTATAAAAATATTTTTTGAAACAATTCAAGCAATACAGAGCCACTGTGAAAATCCCCTCCCCTCTCCAAACCCACTATGCTCCCAGGGGCAGCTGCCACCGTGTTGGTGTGGACCCTTCCAGGCTTTTTCTGGGCATTTACAAACGGGTCCAGCTATCTTCTGAGGCCCCTTTTGACTCTCAGATGTTGAGATGGGCTCAAACCTCCATCTCCATGAACCATGGGAAGTCGAGTCGCCTCCAGATTTCTTTGAATCCCAAGAAAAGCGTGGGGGAAAGAAGGGGGACACTTCTGTGTCCAGTCTCCAGGCCTTGGCTCTGCCCCTGCCGTCTCTCTTCTCTGACCCAGATGAGACGCTCAGCCCCTTTCTGGATTCTATCCTAAAACTCATGCACGCAGTCGAGCACACTGGGTTTGGGGATCCCTGAGGTATTCACATTGTACCACGCATAGCAAACAATTTTAAGTGTCAGCTCTGTGATAGGTCCAAAGTCCTTTCAACCATCCCCTGTCAACGAGAGCTTCTCTCTGGCCCTTTGCCCCATGCATTTCACCATCTTGTCCCTCACCCATCCTCCCCTGACTTGGGAAATTCAAATTCTCCTCCCTCCTTTACCCAGCTCCCCAGCTCTCCCATCAGACTCCTCATGGAGCTGGCACAAAGGCCTTCCATTGCCCTGGGCCACCCTTCTTAGCAGGCATCTGTGGTCATCCCTGTCATTGGTTCCTGCTGCTCTCATGGAGTGGGACTAGGGCTCCCACAGGCGAGGCAGCCTCTGCTTACATCTGGGTTACATATTGAACATACATAAACAGTTGGGGGCAGGGTTTTCCCTTGTTTGCACAAGAAGTCAGGCTGTACACAGTGCTCGGCGCCGTGCTTGTTTCACTCACCCTAAAGTGCAGACGTCTTCCAGATCTCCGGTGATAACAGCTGAACTTGGCTGAGAACTTAACTCGTGCCAGGCCCTTTATGTCAGTGCTGTCCCAATCACATGTGGCTCCTGAGTCTTGAAACATGGCTGGTGTACTGAGGAAATAGTTTTAATTTGATTTAATTTTAATCAAATTTAAAAATAAAAGTATTTGTTAAATACAACTTTTTTCATAGGACTATGTTTTACTTTAACCATTACATTGCTTAAGATGTTGTAGCACTGAAATGTGCTATATGTGTAAAATACACACCAGATTTTGAAGACTTAGTAGGAGAAAAAGAATGGAAAATAATCTCATTAATAATGTTATCTTTATTGTCGTAATGATATTTTGGATATATTGCATTAAAATATATATATTATTAAAGTTAATTTCACTTTTTAAACTTCTTTAAGATAGCTACTAGAAATGTTACAATTATAAATGTGGTTTGCAGTCCATTTCTATTGGACAGTGCAGCTTTAGATGCATTACCTTATTCCACAAATTTGTTCAACAAATATTTACTGAAGAGCTTATATGTGCCAGGCACTGGGCTGGGCACCAGGGATACAGCAGTGAACAGAACAGACCACAACCCCTGCCCTTACAGAGTGTCCATTCCAGGTGGATAGTTTTTAACAACTTTACCAGGTAGATACTATTGTTATCCCATCTTATAGATGAGGAAACTGAGGCACAGAAAAGTTAAATAATTTCCCCACAGTCACAGAACTAATGAAGGGTTGAACTGGGATTTGAATTCAAGCATTCTGAGTCCATCAAGGTTAAGGTCATAACTGCTATGCAATCACAGCTATCCAGTATTGTACAGTATTCATATATTATAATTATCCAACCAGCCCTCTACTGTTGGATGCTCTACGGTAACCGAACAATAAATGTTATGAGAACAAGTAAACTGTGGTTGAGAGTGAATGTAAGATGTTGAAAGGAGACAAACTTCAGGTCTGAGGTCATAAGCAGGGCCAGAGGTAGGACAATGAGGGACATGTTCAGAAGCTGGGAGGGCCGGCCTGGTGGCATAGTGGTTAAGTTTGTACACTCTACTTTGGCAGCCCTGGATTCACAGGTTTGGATCATGGGCGTGGACCCAGCACTACTTGACAAGCCATGCTGTGGTAGCATCCCGCATAAAAAATAGGGAAAGATTGGCACAGATGTTAGCTCAGAGCCAATCTTCCTCACACGAAAAAAAGAAGCAGCTGGGGAATGGGGCCTGGCTGGAAAGTGCTGAAGAGATCATAAATCGGGGATGGGGAGGGCAGCAGCACCTTGTTGGGGGGTGCCTAGCAGGCTGAGGACTAATTGTGGGACAAGACAGAAGGACTGGAGAGGAGGCTGCATTTAAGGGGCAGCCCAGGGTAGGGCCAGGTACCAAGGAGCAATTCTCAAAAGCTGCCCTTCCTGAGCCAGTCCCTGTGCTAACAAACTTTTACATGCATCTAGTCAGTCGGTTGGTCACTCAACAAATATGTACTGGGTGCCTACTAGACACCAACCTCAAGGCAACAACCTTGCAAAAGCCCTTAGAAGAGGTTTTATTCCAC